GCAGAACTTTGCTCAGCTTAATGATTCCCAAGCTGATTCTTTTATATGAATACTTGTCCATCTCCAGTCATGGCATTTTCAGTCTCAATGGCTAATGCTATGCTACAAGTTAAGTTTGTCAAAAACAGACATGGAAACCAAAATCCTGTCCACAATGGATATAAGTTCCAAGTTAAGACCAAACCTGGTGAAAAAAAAAAACTTTCTAGAAATGTTCTACTGCAAAGTGTCCTGCCTCAATCAATACCCTAACCAACTTACGAACTAGAATCTTAGCAAACCACAACCAACAGTCTGACCACATGCAGCTGATGGTAGACGAGGTCATGCAGAGAATTATAGTTCGTTGTACAGATAAGCTTACTCCAGTTCCAACTATCTACGAGGAAGAAATGTTGAAACCCAGGAACGATGAGTAGAATGACGACACGCAACAACTTGTGGAGAAAACTTGTCCAGCACCCACATTCAAACATCTTCAAACTCCTCTGACTAATGAAATTCGATGAAGCTATCAACGACCTAACTAAGATCCAGTATGCAGTTGGTGGCATTCCAAAAAAGAACATACAACTGTTTAACAACAGAGTAGAAGACCTCAAATTTAGACATCGTAACCAGGAAATCACAATTGTGCAGTTTGGCGATGCAGCATCCAATCTTATATACCTGAAATAGTGCTTAAATGTGTTTGCTGAATTTATTATGTGAAATTTAATATGGATTTAGTGCTGATATTTATTTATTATGTGCCCTATCTATACTACCAAATGTCTTACATAAATCAGGCTTATGCAATATAATTTTTAAATCAATAAATAAAATAAATAATTAATCTTATTGCTTTTTTTTTTTTATTTTAAATATTAGTTAAAAAGTCTAATTTCTCTTTCAAATATAAATTTATATAATTTGATTTTATAATTTAAAGAAACCAACTTACCTGTCCTCTATTCCAACAGGGGTTAATTAATCACTGTTTTTACAGTAGGTAGATGTTTATACAGGCACGTAGCAACAAGGGGGAGCAGGCAGGGGGGGGGGGTCTCCCCCACTTTTTTCCAAAAAAATTCTTTCTATTGTAAATGTACATTGAAAGGCCGGTTGGCCCACTCATTTTTAGTTATAAGTAAAAAAGCGTAATGTAGTATTTCATGAATAAAATTTGGTACTGAAAGAAGTTGGAACCCCCCCCCCCCCCCCCTTCCATACGAAATATGATTTTCGAGTTTGGGCAATTTTTCATCTTGGTCTTTTTTTCCTTTTTTTTTGCTTCTCAAATTTTTCAGGTAAGTTGAAATTGTTTTTTTTTTCTGGCTGCCCCCCCCCCCCCCCCCCCCGCTTTCAAAAATGATGCTGCGTCACTGTTATATAGTTTAGTATTTCTTTACACTAAAATTCCAACTATTCCCCCATGCAATTTTACCTTTTCCTATCTGATTTTTATTAAGTGGGAATAGGTAGAATAAACCGCCTTGGTCACTCTTAAGAATCAATGCTGATACTGGAATTTCACTGAATAAACTCAAAGTTTAACTGTAATTTAATAACTCTGTAAAACCTTGCTAGTAGAAAAAAATAAAGTTCTCAAAGCATGAATTTGAAAAAAAAACACAAAAAAAACAGGCATTGTTTTGCCCCTGGATTGAAAGATCCCGGGGGTATATTGATTTTGTACTATCTGTCTGTTTGTCAGTTTGTCTGTTTAGCTGTCTGTTTGTCTGTCTGTCTGTTGTCAACTTTAACCTAGCCCATAACTATTGCGCTGTCAAGGGCAAGGCTTTAATGTTTGACATGAGCGTTCATTATGACAAGACCTTTCCATTGGTACAGAAAATTTTGATCATGTGACCTCAACTGTGACCTTTGACCTACATTTGAAAAACTTGGCCATAACTGTTGCACTGTAGTCTACGTCCCACTCCAGAATTGTGTTATCATCGGGGGCATAGTGTTTCACAAACACATCTTATTGAATAATATTTTGGAGCTAATTTGTTTTGAGTTGTTTTCAGGTGTTACTTACTATATTTCGTGAATTTTTCTTGAAGCTCTTGCGTCTTGTAAGGTATTTAATTCGTCGATTGTATCCTTTTATTGTAAACATGCTTAATAAGAGTTTAAATAAGATATATTATTGAAAATGTCATTTAAACGTTAGGAACGTTAGGAAAACTAATTGGTTGCGATCTTTCCAAGAAAATAATCCATTTGCCGGCTCGTTGATGCCACTCGTATTTAAAATAAGTACCTTTCTTTGATATGAAATATGTTAGACGAAATACGACGCAAGGATAGGTTGTATTTTTAAATATGGTAATAAAAATATGATTTCAAAATATATTTGGCCCTATAATTTTATAAAATTTGAAGTGATGTAAGAAACTAGAACTCATAATTTCTGAATTGTTGAAATACAATGCAGTAAGAACATACCAATCGTTTCCTCATATGACCTCCTAATTGCTACATGTAATAGTGACTTCATGAACTTGTGCATTTTCTGTATTTTCTTTAAAAGTTGCAGAAGACATCGATTTTTTGTGGAATTTTCTTTCAGATAATATATAGCACATGCACATGCATCGCCTACAAAGATTTTGACAAATGTGATTTTTTAAAGGATTTTACACATTTGAAAATCATAGTGGATGATCGCTATGGACGCTCTTTTCTTATGAAAAAAAGGAGTCTTTTTTAGGCCTTTTCATGCCCCCGGATCGAAAGATATCGGGATATATTGCTTTTGTCCTATCTGACTGTTGTCTGTTTGTCTATTTGACATGGAGTGTTCATTATGACAAGACCTTTCCATTGGTATAGAAATTATTGATCATGTGACCTCAACTGTGACCTTTGACCTACCTTTGAAAAACTTTAACATTGGACATAACTATTGCACTGTAGTCTACGTCCCACTCTAGAATTGTGTTACCATCGGGGCATAGTGTTTCACAAACACATCTTGTTTTGTTTTAAATTTTGAAAGGTGACAATTTATAATTTTCATGATTTATCATATTTATATATATTTATCATATGCGCCTCTGGTGCATCAAAATTGGTACCATATATGATTTACATTCATATACTTAACTTACATATAAGGCAATTTCATTACTTTTTGAAAGCAACAGTTTTTTAGGGTAAAATACAGCCTAAACCGTTTCTACTTCATTCTAGTGAAGCGCAGTTTCAAAAAATAGAAATCAAAGTTATGACAAAATTTACTAATATATGATAATTATAATAAACAACTTTACAAAAGTGATAATCATGACAATGTTAACACGTGATTGTGTCTAATAAATATAAAAACAGGTATGTTTAGATCATTATTCTCGAAAATTTGACATGATTTGATAAATCCTCAAAACAACTGATAAAACTTGACTTCATCATCATCCATTGCATAGACGTCAGTGTGTTTAAGGCTAAGATTGATTGATTGTTTATTGTTTAACGCCGAGTCGGCAATATTTCAGCCATGTTTCGGTGGTGTAAGGATAAGAAAAGCAAGCCATATCGACATCATCATATGACGTTTCCATTAGAAAAAATATACCTTAATGAAAAAACGAAAAGTTGAAAACTATCCATTGTTCTTCTTTTTATTTCATTATGTTATGATTATGTAAAAAAAAGTAAATTGTTTTTAATGGTACTGTCCTGTTTCAGAAATAATTATTTCAAAACATATGCATTTTTTATGCAGTTGTTTTTCATTTTATCAAATAATTTTCATCGACCGATACTTACTACACGATAGTACAAAACAAGTTTCAAACACATAATGAGCTATAGACCTGAAATTTCCAAATGCCTGATAAAATGAGAATTAGCTGGATAGGGCCTCCAGAATACTTTTATCAATGATTTCGAACTTAAGACATTAGGCAAGTAGGTGTTGAATATATAGCGTATCTTTTAACTAATATATAATCAAAAATTGATCTTTATCGGAGAAAACTTAAGTATTTAAAACATGTACAACATAAAAAATGATTTTATAAAATATATAATTTTTATTTTGACCGTCGAAAGGGTGATCTAAATTTTTAGGCTTGTTTTTCTAACTATAATTAACTATAATCACGCATTTGAACCTTAATGTATATGAAGGTAACATTTTTTTTTTTTTTTTAAAAATACAAAATATAAAATCCCATTTACAGTGATGCTTCATACGAAAAAAAAAATGCATGTATGAATTTTAACGTGATAAACCCTTCTTTACTAGTTGGATTTAAAAAGAAAGATTTTTGACATAATCCAATACCTATTGATTACCTATTAGTGAATTTAAACATTATATTCAATGATTACAAGAAATACTATAATGGTAATATGTACATGTTTGATACAATTAAAGAAATTGATGAGCTAAATCTTTGACCTTGACGTCTAAACAACTGATCAAAAAATTACACCGTACATTTCTCCTCATACCACTGTCCATGACATGTACAAACCAATGAAACAAAAAATGTCGATTTCATATCATCATGGTTACAAATAACATATCTCTTTCTCTGGCTTGAATGTTTGACAAGTAATTCCACTGGGAACTCTCTCGGATATGTCCAATTCACTATAGTCGTAGAACTAATTTTGATCATGACGGACACAAGACAAACGGATAAATAGATGTACACATTGATAACTGTAGAACACCAGTATATTGATTAGATCTTTTAAAATACAACCGTAAGGGTACCTGAACAAGCTGGATTCATAATCCCTCGCTATGTCCTTCTTTCACAAATGCATTAACATCATTAAATAAAAATTTTCCATAGACAGAATTTATGATGATGGAAATAAAATTGTTAAAATAAATCCATAACATAAGAGTACGATATATGTGATATTCTGAATCATTAGGTGTAAGAAGGTCTAGAATTGTTGCAATTCATTTGTAAGCTTTTTGTTATTTTATCAAAAACAGCTATCAACATTGTCTCATTTCATTTTAAAAGAAGAAATAAATTTTCTGTAAATCATTTTAAAACATAGAAAGGTTCAGTTAATTTCTGATTCGCAATTTTCATAAAACAGTAGATAAGCATTACACTTCAAAACAGATTTTAGGGATATGTCATCAACATACGAATCGTCACATCTTTTCCATTTGAGCTCTCCTTTTATTTTCACATAGCTAATATAATGTCCACTTTTTTCGCTTCCCCAATGAACAACGACTCCAAATAACCGATATGGCCGCAATGTATCATCCCCAATTTTCTAAAAATATATATATATATATATATATCAAACAATATTACAAAGCAATGAATAAAAAGAAAAAATGCGGCTGACAAACAAAAAGAAAACAAAAGAAACTAAATATATGGCTTGGGAAACAAAGAGTATTTATTCTATACTATACCCTTTTCAGCTCAGCGTTAGTCAATCCGTCAAAATTATCCCAGAATCTAACAAAATTTCTTCGTTTTTCAAAGCTGCATTCTTGTTGAGAAAGGTCAACCTACATACAAAAACAACGCTCTGCATTGCAATTGTTTTAAAATGTTTATTAATGGGTATGAAGAACAAGAGTCAAATGGGCCAAACCGCTCTCCGAAACAGCTTGGGTTATTGATGCTCTTTATCGGATAAAGAAAAAAAACCTATATCGTCATAATGTATGTTGACTCAATATTGTAAACAAAACTAAGTCTTAAAGTGTGTATGATTTATCAAAATTATCTTCTCTCAACATTCAGATGCTTTTGTTATCAGTATGACTTATTTGGCCTGTTCTTAAAAGAAATATTTTTCCTGTTAACAAGTTTTATGTGCAGGAAAAATTCTGATCTACCAACTTTAACCAAACACTTCACAAGTTTTCGGAAGTTAAAAAAGGACTTAATTTGTGTCTGTTTGTTGTTTATTGTCCTCTGCAGAATTTTTCACTCATATTGAGATGACACCACTTGCCAGTGGAGAGCTGCAAATTTTGACCTATACTCGGCACTCAAGGCAATTGAGCAGTGAGGAATCTTTTTCGTGCCAGCATCTACTGCGACACGGGACCTCAGTGTAATCGGTCTCATCCGAAGGACCGGTCTCGACGTCCCACAGTGGGATTCGAGCCCGCAACGTAAGGATCAACTTCTTACTCCGCGATTCTAGAGCAGACGTTCTACCACTGCGCCACGCGGGCGACGGACTTAATGTTAAACGATTGAATATAGACGAGCAGACATACGGATAAACTGTGGTCCTGGCCCTAAGATCATAAAATAGACTTAGACTTCAGTCAAATTTTCAATCGCCTGTAAAATGTTTATCAATTATCGAATTTATCTCTAAATTTTGCAGATAACAATGCTTTTGTAAAGCAATATTGAAAAGTATTTTAAATTTTGTCTGCTTGACTTCTACTAAATTTTAAAACATTAAGATTTTGACTTAAGCTTAAGATGTTTCATGATCCTGGGACCAGGTGAGATAAAAAAGGAATTAACCCCTTCCTTCTTTTCAGTTCATATGATATTGTATAAGAAGTAAAAAAAATAAATAGAAGGATATGTTATTCTTTCATATTCAGTTTGATTATTGTGACGGTTTCTTTATGTCTAAAAAAAAAGTTATAAAAAGGCTTTTTTTACCTCCTGAATTTTGGAAAATTGTAGAACAAGAATTGTAGGAAATTGAACAATCTCAAGCTGTTTGGTTATTTTCTGAGATCCTTAATGTTGAAAAAAAATATATATATATATATATATACATGCATAAAATATTTGAAAGCTATTTTGGTCTTTTCTCTTCATTTACTGCAAAATGATTTACCACGTTAGAAATATTTTGACGATGGTATTTTAAGACTACACCCACCTATTATGAATTGACAAAATCTGTTATATAATGATATTATGACTAAAAGTAAACTATATGACGTGGACTTTAGATCAATATATATATATATATATATATATATATATATATATATATATATATATATATATATATATATATATATATATATATATATATATATATATATATATATATATTAGGGGTGACAATTTGAAACCGGTTACTCGGTCGGAACGATGATAATCGGTAAAAATAAAAACTGTAATTGGTTAGTCGGAAAAAAATTTAATACATTTAAATTTTCTTAACACTCGATTTACAATATTAAAAACCCTCTGAATATTTATAAGTTATGACGCTTTCACATTTAATTCGGCTGATTAGGAGGTAAATAATTAAGACCCTCAAGATTGAAATTGTTGGGATAATTAGTCACTTTGTGAAGTGTTAATTGCTGTTGAGGCACCTTGTCGTTACCCAGCCTGTCCTACATTTCTTTAATAATATTAATTAAATCTTTGTTGAGTTTTGTTAAATGATTTAAGGGGATGAAGGACACATGGTCACATGACTCTGTTTAACTACGTCATAGTCTCCGTTTATACAAGTGCAAAACGTGTAAAGCATCAGTTCTTGTATAATTTTTTGACAATTTTTTAACTTTAATTACCATCTTATATAAAAAAAAAAATAAAAAAGTTTTAACATTCTTGTAAATATTAACAAATTATGAAAAAGATTGATCCACTCCTCTGTTTCCATAAACTGCGCGTCCAACAAATCGGTGACGTCATACACGATCTGTTAGTACAGCAAGATCATACTCGGTGAATACAGTGGCGATATTATTATGATTATTATGTAAAAACAGGTCATAATCAGTATAAGATGAAATACTTTGAGAAACGCGGAACACAAAAATTATTTTTGCATGGCTGATGACGGAAATTTTATGTAGGTATATCTTATTTCGCTTAATTAGCTTACGTGTGACGTCATAGTTGGTTTTTCCCGTACTCGAGAAATGTAACATGACACGTTTTTGTAATGCTAATGTCCTCTTTAACGATGTCCTGTTAAAAAATGAGGCCAGCTTCATCATTCGAAACTTTTACAGTTAATCAATAATTTGAGGGATTTGCATTTCAACGTATATTAAAAAATATTGAATGATAGAATTTTTTGTAAATAACGTTTTTTGTTGTTTAAGTTGTCTTAAAAAGTGCGTAATTTTCCCTATCCAGATGCAGTGTGATTGACAAAACTTCCTTTTTCGAATTTTAAATCCTAGTTATACTCTGAAATATTTTAAAAGATACATGTCCACTTTGATATTTTTTATATATGCTTAAAAAAATCCCATTCTGGACAGAGTTATGAGCCCGGAAACATGGGGAATTAAAACTCTACTTAGATACTGTAGGGCATAGTATTTGTCAATCAATATCTCCAAAATAAGATAAGAAACCTAATGATATAACTGCTTTAAGATATGTGGGACATACTTAATTAGAAATATACAAAATATGAAAAAAAATTGAATGACAAGTATTTTTTTTTCAGCTCAAGGTTCTTCTCCTCCTTAAATGAATGCAATGCGTATCTTACCCCGTCTTTCCCTCGTAGTTATCTGTCAAGTTATTTTTTAAAACAAACATTGTAAATTAAGTGACAGTTCAGACTCAGTTTCTGTTGATGGTGACAATGCACAAAGACCTCGTGGTGTAACATTATCAACTATTTAGAGTATGCTGCTGAAATTTTTTGATATGTACACATTGATAATTTATCTAGGATTCATACCGAAGTGTAAAATATTTCTATGAAAGGATAGTGCGACTCTAGCATTACATTGTATTATTTAAGACTCAGAGATATTCTACAATCATATTAATGTTTATCTACCCAAACTATTAACCCCATGCAGGGAAGAGTTGAATTTTTCACTTTTTCATTAAGACATTTTCTATAGAAAAACGTTTTGGAATGATGCTAGAGTTGGAGGTGGGCTATTCTCATGAGAATAAACACTCTGACGTATATTTTTACATATTTGAAAATTTGTCAGGAGATTTGACGAGTTATCATCTAGTTACGGTTTTCAAAAAGAGTGTAATTTTCCGGGAAAAATGATCTGGGTGCAGTTTTAATATACCAAAGTATTTGTTTTGAATTAGGCATTTTACACAAACCACATTCAGAGCATGGAAAGATGTCGATTTCTTCTTCCTTCAGAAGGCCAAGAAAGCAAGACCCAATTGTTGCCTCCTACGAAATCATTAAGAAATTTCATTAAATTGATATTTTCATAAGTAGGTTTGTTAAATGCATTTATATGTATTTGAAAACACATCCATTTAGCATTTCTTTCAAATATAAATTGTTCGATTCATCTGTTCCATAAGTTCTATAGCATGCATCAAAAGTAGTAAAAATCTACATTGGTATGTACAAATAAATACTTAGATACTTAGATATATTATCAAAATCAGCCATTTGTATGCTTTTTTTTAAAGATTTTAACAGAGTGTAATTATTGTAGTCTTATTCTATATGTTAAAATAAAAGTGCATACTTTCAAAGTGGATTTCGTTAAAACAAATGTGAGGTGCTAACTCATGGGAACCGATAACGGAGAAAATTGCACATTAATACAATTGTAAAAAAAAAGGAATGAAAGAAATATGTCCAGCTTTATATATATATAAAAAACAAACAAACAAAACATTTTTGGAGTACAATTTTGAGCGCAAATCGACACAAATAATTGCATGAAAGATATCATCCATTTTTTTCACCTTGTTCTTTTTTTCGGCGTAGGGTAGCGGTAGATAGAAGAAATCACTGTCATTGAAGTATTCCACCTGTTACTCAAAAAAAAAAAAAAAAAAAAAATCACTCAGCATAACATTTCTTATAATTAATTACACATAACGCGTTTTTACTGCTGCAATAATAAGATGTGTATCAGACTAACTTTCGAACAATTTTGACAGCCATATTTGTCTCTCCATTTTCCTCTAAATACGTGAACGGGGTCTTTCGACGTTCCACGTTGTTCTGAAGCAAACCATATGAAATAAGCCAAAACTTTAAAATCTCTTGAATTTGCAAAATTGCATATTTTGTATTATATATATATATATATATATATATATATATATATATATATATATATATATATATATATATATATATATATATTAATGATTTGAAAAAAAATATATGAATGGCATCTTTTGTTTCTGTTACGTCACTAACTATTGGGAATTTACTGATATGTTTAAAACAGTGGATAAATACAAAGAATTTGTTAATTTTTACTACAACATTTACAAAAGGACAAACTTGCTTAAGTACCATTTACATATATCATCAGTACACATTGTATTAAAATATAAAATCTGCACAAACCTGCGCTCGATAATTTCCAATCAAGATATTGGCGTAAGATACAGTATTTTGTTTCAAATTTATTAAAATATTGAATTCAAGTTATTTTCTTGATGTCATATCGTCTTAGGACGTAATAGTTAATGAAATTAAAAATTGCTTTGAAGAATGCATAAATATATTCAAAATACAATTAAACATTTCTGCATTAAAGTATCATTTTGTGGAATTATTTTTGCCGTTAAGGATAACGTCCTTTAAATAATTTTCGTGTTAATGAAAAATTAATTCAATTTATAATGTTTTTTTTCTGCAGAAAAAAATTAAGGTGACATACTTTTTGAATTTGACATACTTTTGAATTGCAGGCTTATCCTATATTTAGCATCCATTCATGCAAAAACCTAGTATATACATATTCACGAAGAAAGAACACGTTTTTTAAAAATGAGAATGACATTATTCAAAGGATCTGATTTATTATACTATTTCTCGCATGTAAATTTATACCATTGTTTAATCGAGGTAGAAATTGCTAAGTATGTACCAAATTGCACAGATTCTTGAAAAACACTGAAAGAAATTGACAAAATATAAAAGGTATCGAAAAAAATAGTCAAAATACTGGCAGAATGATTGTGTGTTTTCTGATCTTTGCTACGCGCATGCGGACCTTTACATGCAACATAAAAATGGACTTATGCAGAAATTCAGAAATAAGTAATCTTCATGAGCAACAGCTGAAGTGGTAACAAATAGACTTATTCTTAATTCAATACCGATCAACGAAGTTTGGACCCCCAACACACTTGTAGTCTAGATGTAATTTGCTTCCAATGCCTGTGATAAGTATATCACGTGCTTTCAAATGACCCGTACATGGAATTTTCACATTGGCAATGCTTATGCGAGAACACACACCGCATATAACTGCTTTTTTAACAGGATATCGCTGTGGTGACATCACTTGTTGTCATGCAGCGTTTTTCCAAATAAACCCCTTTCTTTTGGTAAATTAAAAAGAGGATACCAAGAACTACTCGTGTTTTGTATGAGAAGATGAAAAATTTTCAGCGAACTTGGTCATTTTTGAGCGTCCGATTTTTTTTTTTTTATTCTCGACAGCGATCGATATTGTCGAAGTTTTTGCAAAACATTTTAAGTTATAATATATTTTAAAGAATTAAGTCTTTGCTGAGCGTTTCTTTTAAAGATACCAAGATACACATGAACATAGGGTGCAATTTTAAGTTCGTGGGAAGGGAGTACAACCTAACAGATACAGACAAGCTTAGGCCCGTAGCAACGGTTTTAAAAAGGGGGGACCTAAAAAAAAAAGCCTAATAAGCTGTCCAAATCCTGGATTTGCCAGGCTCGACCTAGCAGCCACAAAAAGTGGGGGGGGGGGGGGGGGGGACCAGCATGCATCTAAAGGAAAAATTACTGTGGCAAAATATTATACCCGCCTCGTTCTACAACTAAACCTTTGTTTAGTTGTTCCATATCTTTTTGTGATACTGTTGTGGTCTCAAAATGATGATAAATAAACGCTTTCTATTTTCGAACATTGGAAAAAAAAGTTAAAAAGTTTTCTATCTGTGATAACTTCGGTTTGTTGTATTGAAGAGTTAAAAAAAATTCAATTTCATTCTCAATAAATGATAAATACAATTCCAATTGAAACCCAGGGTCTGCTTGACCCTTGGACTATGTATTACTATGTATTTTTGAAAAAAAAACACCCTTGCTCATCATAGTCATTCATTTCGATTGTTTGTTACAAGCCCCAGATTAAAGGAAAAGATTTTCAATGAAAAAAAAAATGCTTTTTGTGCTGTATGTTTAATAGAGCCCCGCCCTTACATCAGAACCCCTAGCCTGACCCAGGGGAAATGAATTTCATAATTTTGGTTGAATGCTTAATTCTTACTTAAATCATGTCGAGTTTTATGTTGTGCTTGATGTCCAGGAATAATTAATACAATATGGAGATAACGAACATTCTTCAAGTTCAGAGGCAATTTTAGCGATACAATACGGAAACAGAGAAAACACGGACTCCAAATTAAATTAAAGTAAAGAAGAACATTTTCAAAGATTACAATTATTTAATTGCTTTTGCCACATCCATCAGGACGCAAAGACCATGAAATAAAAATACGTATATGTTGAATGTAACACATAATTACGATTTACAAAAAAAGGTTAAATGGGTTCAATGAATAGAAAATATTTAAAGAATCGTTTTCAAACGACGAACGATGAAGAACAAAATGAGAAAAATATATATTGTTGGCAAAATCAGATATTTCAAAAACAATATAGTTGTTTAACATCACTGTCGAATTATTATGCTTCTTAATGTATATCATTCCTTTTGACTATATATATCTGTATGAAAAAGATCGACCATGGATAAATTGCTTTGATTTAAATACCTGTCAAGGCATCTTGGATACCATTCAAAAGAGATGTTAGAAAAGAAAGGCAATCTTCTTGTTCATATTCTCGATATTCAGGGTTTCTGCAAAAAGTAAGTTAATTGGTATATCATTATACAATGTCATGGAATTCTTGCAAACTTATCAATACTCTCTTTTCTTTTTTCAAATTTTATTACAAAACATCAAGGTATTACATAATACAGTCTATAAATGAATAAAAAAAAAAAATAGATAAACAAAGGAAAAAAAATATGAACCTCAAGACACGTATTTGAATTAGTTAACTGGGATCAATGTGCTCGGCATTTATTTGTTGTCAAAATCTGTTCGCTCTTTTGTTTTTGAACGTACATGTATTCTAATGATAAGCTTCCCACTCTGAGTTTGTTCAATATCGCTCTCCACCTACAGTTTCCCCTAACAGTTGGTTACTATTCGTTGTCATTTCATTTTCTCTTTGCTTCTGTTATTCCAGCCTTTACTTTGTTAAACAAGAGTATTACAGAAAATTTTTTTAGATCGAGCTACATTTTATGATCGATTTAATCTTAGTAGAAAGTGGAAGTTACACGCACAATTTGTTGAATTCATGATGAAATTCATATAATTGTTCCTCGATTTCCTCGGTTATGTTATTTCGTATTCCTTCCAAAATAAACTGCAACAAAATAATCCATTCTTTTTTCTGAAAAAATTACAGATAAATTAATAAATAAATTTTATATATATATATATATATATATATATATATATATATATATATATATATATATATATATATATATATATATATATATATATAATAAGAATGAGTTTAAAATAACCTCATGACATACACGTAGTGAAAATATGAACAGGTACCTTTTCTGATGATGATTTGCCTAAAAGTTCCAAAAAGTGAGGCGTTTCTGCTAAAATCTAAAATTAGAAAAACACATATTTTAACGAAAAAGACAATAATTACACAATTTTAATTCTGGTGTTTTAAGATATAATTGATTATATTACCTGTAAAATACTATTTCGATAACAGGAAAAGCCTATATTTCTTAATCCCCTCGACCCTGGTTTCCTCTAAATGAAAACAAAACATGAGTGTTAAGAGACATCAATAATGATATTTATTGATAAAGTGACAAAATGCTAAGTACTTACTGCAATTTTCTCTTTTGATTGTCTTTCATCCTGAATTTCTTTATCTTTTTCCAATTTTCTTTTACCCTTTAAATCACCACTGTCGGTGCTTTTTGCTTCAGGACATGACGAAGATTGTTGATTATATTTTTCGTGTCTCATTGTGTTTTTGTGTGATCTGGAAACGTTGTCAATTACTAAACCTGTCAAACAAAAAAATATCAGCAACAAACGTAATAAATTGAGAAAAGTACATTAGGTACTCTTAATCTTTTGCAAAATGTAGTACAAAATCTAATACATGTACATCTTACTTACTCATTGTCTCATCCTTTCTTGAAGCCTAAAAGAGCGAAAGTGTTTTTAGAAACATATTTTACCCTTCTTTCAATGTTAGTATGCTTACTTTTTGCCATCATATAAAAAACACTCATTGAGATGGTCACTTTTAAATTTTAATAAAGGAGATTATGAGATTTGTTTGGATATATATACGAAGGTTGACTAAACTTATACATACTACATGTGTGTCGTCATATTGCGTAATTTATATGCGCAATTTTTGACAGTTTCCTAAGCGGTTTAAATGACACAATGGTAAGCACAATACAAGTAAAATGGCGACATTTGATGACCTTAAGCCGCACCGAAGAGCAGTTCAACTCTAAGTTGATCTACGACTGACGACTCTATATACATTAAACAATGACAAAAGACGAAAAATGTAGGGAAATCACATAATCTTTAACATAAAATTGCAACTTTTTTATGCGGAAGTTTTGAATCAGTGTATTATGATATCGATCAAAACATATATACATGTAAATACTGTAAAATCAAAAACTGTCTTTGAGATCGCCGGTCGAGATACATATGGTACAAAAGAGCCTTGAAAACACACTTATCAAAAATTTCAGAAGGCCCCGCCCTAAATGTTTGAGAAAAAAGTCCCTCGCCTGCTTAAAGAGTGAAATCCTGTATTAGTGCAGGTTAATCTAACATATTTTTAGCAGATTATAAAAAAATCAAAAATTATGCTGAAGAGACATTTTGATGTTATTATCTGTGCGCTGCAAATGCAAAATTTTGCTAATTTGAGCATACTTTTGTGTAGTTTGATTTGTATATTGAGGAATAATGTGTAGATAAGTATAAAAAAAAAATAAGAGGGTTGCATGGATTTTTTTAGCTCTCCTTATCTTGTCTACGGTTTAACCAGACAACCATTCTACATGTTCAGAATCGGTTCATCTTTAATCTAAACTCAGATTTTAAGGACATCGAGAAATTGTCTACACAAAATCGGTAAGATTGATTGATTGATTATATGTTATTTAACTTCCAATCGATAATTTTTCACTCATATAGAGACGTCACCATATACATGTACCGATGAAGGGCTTTAAATTATTACTCGGCACTCAGGACAATTGAGCAGTGAAAGATCTTTATCGTGCCAACGCCTGCCGTGACACGGGGCCTCTGTTTTCAAAGTATCATCCGAAGGACCCACAACTTTCACTTCAAAGTGCCGAGTGCATGGCAAAGAAACAGTAGCTTCCCATTTTTTATCCACTTAGGTCAGTTGTGGCCGAGACTCGAACTCACAACCTCCCGATCAGTATATTGATAATCATAACAGTAGAAAAGGAACAACAGAATAATAAGAAGGTCTTCCGTAGGAGACGTAAGTCCTTAATAAAAGTCGAAATTTACACTGAAACGGATTGCACAGGTGTCAGATTAGACAGTTTTAAATGTATATATCTTTGTCTCAAACACAAAGTTTGACATGTATGTTCGATTGTGTGGAGAAAAAAACACCATTTACGGCGTCACATTAATTCGAAGACAATCTTTAAGTCGTTAATTAGCTTTCAAATTCACAAAAATTAAGATTTTCCTCTCCTAGTATTCAACTGATTTCGGTTCGTTTCGCATACCACTCGGTTGAATAGAATTAGTCACACCCACCCAACACATGGAGTTTTGTTCTCTCATCCATTCAATTGATATTGTTTAGTCCAGCACTTGTCCAAGAGACTGAGCTTGAATCTCGCATAATATTCAATTAATAACAGGTTAGTCTCGTATATAAAAACTAAGGCTAGTCTATCACCATCACAAAATAATCGATGTTTCACCTAGCATCTTAGTCTCAAGTAAGCGTTGAGAGTGAATGTTATATATATATATATATATATATATATATATATATATATATATATATACATACATACATATACATACACACACACACACACACACACACACACACACATATATATATATATATATATATATATAATCTGTTTATATATGTAGCATTTGTAATTTGAACAAGTTAAAATGTAATTTCGAAGATTTTAAATGTTTACATGTATTACCTCACTAGTATCAGAGTTTTTTCCTTCTTGGCAACAGAGCAAAAGAGGGAATCGCTCTGTACAATAAAATGATCCCGAACATTTTGCAATGCTCAACTGATAACTTTTAATCTGATCCTTTTCAGCATTTTGAACACATTTTGAGCACAATTTATGTCCACATCGAATGACTGTAAGAAGTGCCTAAAAATGAACAAAAAATATCTCAGGAAGGGAAGAACTAATTATTCATTATTTATCCAAAGACATTCATATGCTTAGTTTTTAATGTTAATTTTCGATTCCTGTATTCATCATTTCGATGAACAAGGAGGTACTATTATCAAATTAAAAGAAGCCAATGGGGGAGCATCACTCAGTCCAGTAATATAAGCCCAACTGTTCTCAGAGAATTTTAAAAATAATACTTTAACCCCCCCCCCCCTTTTTGTAGCCAAACTCAAATTCTAAGATGTCTATGAATCAATACAATATGCTTCAATTTTGATATGACGAAAATTGCCCTGTTGTCATATTTCCTAGAACTAACCCCATACTCCGATATTTGAAAACAAATTAATTGCATTTACCTTGGTTTTGAATGCAAATTAATGTTTCTTTTGGAAATGGAAAGAAGATTATTCTATGCATTCCAGTAAAACAATTCAATAATGTGGTCCACCTCAAAATTTCTCCGTAATGGCTTAATCAGATGTGACTCTGAGGATGCTTGCGTATTAATATTACAGATCGTGATCCCGCTTTTCCTTGGAAGGACTGTTTAAAAATATTTTCGCATATACATATATTCACATGTAAAACTTTGATACACTTTTGTGGCCCACCCGGTGGAACAATGGACAATTTTAAAACTTTTCCTCAACATACTTGTATTCCCATATAAAAAAAATGATTCTCTTTTCAACTGTTTCCCGTTCTTTCCCTATAGTCAATGATGTTGAAAATGTAGATTCTACGTATACCGTGTCATGAAAGTTACTTAAGTTTTATTTAGTTGGTTCCTTGGTTCTTAAAATGAATATTATTTAAATATCAAATCCTTTGACTTTCCTTTATTATCTTTGAAAATGTAGATTCTACGTATACCGTGTCATGAAAGTTACTTAAGTTTTATTTAGTTGGTTCCTTGGTTCTTAAAATGAATATTATTTAAATATCAAATCCTTTGACTTTCCTTTATTATCTTCTCTTGAAGGGGGACTTAACTATTTATTTGAGATATTTTTAACTCCATTTACCTTCGAATGACATAAACGAACTATGATGAAAACTTGCCCAGTTAATCTTCAGAACTCCGGACAACGGTTGATCAGAAAAGATTGCTCGAGCTTAAGGCTCAGGTGAACTAATAAGTTTATGTATGAAAAAAGCTATCATTCAATTAAATAATAAGTGAAACTTACTTTTCACACTGCCCCTTTAAATGATCAATCAACATAAATTCTAAGTTCTGTATTTTTTTTTCAGTTCTTGCATTTTGTCTAGTTTCTTGTAAATTACTTTTGACACAGAGAAAAAAAGAATGAGGGAAAACAAATTAAAACCTGTGTTGGTATGATTTTATTCTACTGCATTTAACGATGACATACCGTTTCCTTGCAGGTATACACCGAACAGTTCCAATTTTCATTTGAAAAAAGTCCTTCACTGTTTTCCAGATATATCATAAATGGTAAGTTCTGAAAAAGAAATTCCGTTTTATCGTTTTAGGAAACACCTTTTTAGAACAATTTATGCAAATACGTTATCATACATTCTTTTTTTTCAAATATTGAATTCATTGAACGATAAATACATTTTTCAATATTTTATCGATCTGACTTGTATATGTTCATGCACCTTAAATGTCCCATGACACGCTGTTAAACCAGACACTCAAATAACATGAATAGGGATATAATTTGCTACCCATTGCTATAGCAGCTAAATGTTCCCAGTTTGTTGTCAATATGTCGCCCAATTATTGATTATTTTCAATTTCCTGACAAACAAACAACTGTCGTATCTTCTTTTAGTACTTTTTTCTATCTACAATTTCTCAGGATTATCAGTTAACTATGATTTCCTGTATGTTTTGTGCAAGCTAGCGATTCGACACGCTTTTATAAATACGGAATACTGACATGTAAGAGGGTCATTCAAAAAATACGTAAACATTGCGTTTCATCATCATAATCAAGACATTTTCATAAGTAAAAATATTTATTTTGCCTGCCAAGAACCAGAACACTTGCCCCTATGGAAAAGAATATCTGGGGATCACAAACAGTATTCAAATTCAAAAGTCCATTCAAACAATGTAAATTAGGAGCAAAGCAAAGATCCGAGGTGGGATCAGGTGCCATGGAGGAGTGAGCATCCCCTGCCGACCAGCCACACCCGCCGTGTGCTCATTGTCATGATCAGGAAATAACGGAAAAATCCGTAGACAATTCAGTGTTTAAATTTCACAAATCTGGTAAAGAAGAAGAAGACTTTTAAAGTAATTATTTCATTCTCACTATATAAAACACTGGAGCCCCGGACTCTGAGGTCATGGATTTAATAATTTTGGAAGAGGGTCCAATACTTATTACGATTATGCCAATAGTTTGTCTGCTTGATGTCCAGGAGTAAAGAAGAAAAATTTGAAAGATTGCATTTATTTAAGAGATTTATCCCGACGTCTCTGATCCAAGGGTGCAGGTACCACGAGATTCTCAATTTTCATTCCTCTTTCCTATATATTCTATATGACTTAACAGAAAAAAGGGGGCGAGTGGGGGGGGGGGGTTATAACTTCCTCCCATTTTCCATTGATGTCTACACTAAGAAAATCTAAATGTACCAAAACTGTAGTAATCTCTTGATTTCTTTCCACAATTGAAAGAGCTGGATTCACTTTATGCATAAAATGGCCCTGTAGATATACCAATTTATTGACTAACACCTTATGTTCCATTTTAAACATCAAGGTAAAGTAGAGACTTAGTGCTTTCATTTCCTATTAAAATTTTTCTCCTTAAAGTCCAGGTCTTGGAAAACAAGCTTTATTGCAATGTTCTTGAATTTTAAGGAAAACAGGTATATTCAAATACTTTCAGAGAAGAAAAATAATATGAGCCCACCCTCTGATCTAAAAAATAAAATATGTTTTATAATCCTCAGAGACGTTCTATCAGTAAATAATTGCATATTTTAAATCAGAGATTGCGCTCTATATTAAATATCGAAAAATAGCTATAAAAATTGGCTGTTTTGTAGAATTGTTCAGGAGATGAGGAAAATGACGCATTTCATGACGTCATAATGCATTGACTAGCCAGAAAATTACGTCATTTTTCGAAGATTCACAATTGCCAAATGTCTAAATGAAATTTAATGCATTGTCAACTTAAACTAAGCAGTTTCAGTTTTTTAGAAAATCACAGGGCCAAAAAAGGCCCTAAGTGAACCTTGTTCTTTCATATAAGTATCAATATCAATATAGGATTTTTCTCTCAAATTTCAAATAACAATTTCAAATTAATTCTTAAGAAGGGATTCTTGTCTGGTTTCTGACTAGACGGAATATTCCAAGTATATTTGCTTGTATGTCTTATAAACTTAGCTGTAATGAATTTAAAATATCATATTTTCTTTACTCATCATAATTGTACAATTTTAAATAGAAATGGTAAACTGAGTTTGAAATCCATAAGGGACTATATTTTTGGCGCAACTGCAGCTTATGAAAATATCTCCTTTTCTGCCTTTCAATATCACTTACAGAACATTACATGTGGTTAATTTTTTTAAACAATCAAACACTTGAAGAACTTTTTATATATAACTAAAATTATAAATAATGCCCTAAAGTTTTAAAACATAGCAAATGAAAATGATTTTCTAAACAAACTACAATCTTGTTAGCTTTTGAAAGCCTCCAACCTTAAAACAGATTTGAGCAAAAAATCAGTAAAAATGTTTTTTCTCTCTTACTGAATGGTCAAAGCTTTTTGTTTTTGTATCATTTTGTATATTTATATGACTACTTTACCATATGTAAAAATAAGAAACATTTAAATATAAGAAGTATATAAAAATAACTAATACATCCTAAAAAATTAAGAAAAATAGAGGAAATCCGGATTAGCCAATATCTATTTTTAAAAGTTAAATAATGTCAATTAATTTGGTAGAATCATCTGTTAGACCCGATATGGTAACATCTTTTTGTGCCAAAAGAAAAACATTTTATCTTTTAAAATAGAAGTAGGCATCACATGTTTAGCAACAATGATTTTTTACTCTAAATGCCAAGGAAAAAGATAATGACCTTGACCTGACCTTGTTTCTAAAATAAAAGGGTCAAATTTAATCTAATTGATGCCATCAGTTAGTGATATTGTCTTCCTGAATCTATGAAAATTTCATTAATTTTTAAATACAAGAAAAATGAGTAGAATAAGAGAAAAATCCCTCCTTAATGTAATTTATTTGCTTTGGAATTTTATGGGTTTTTTTCTGTTTAATATTGCTTTAAACATTTTATAATTACATAAGGTTTCTACATATTTTTGCATTTGGCAATGGAGGGAATGGTGTGTATAAATTGTACATGTAAAAGTGTGAGAAAAATGATAAATATTTTCATACTTTTATCATTTACAAAAAAAAAAACTTGCCTTGTCTAACTTCTCGCTGCATAAAGACGATATCAAAAAATCAAAGTGGTATTTTGGAGGAAGTTTCCTACTATTGCAGTTTGTGGTTTGGCATTTTTCATCCGGCTTGCATTTTTGCAGACAATCGAGGCATAAGGAGTGATTACAATGTCTTGCCCTAATTATGCCCTGTAAGCAGAAATAATATACAATAACTCCCGTAATAATAACTTTTTGCAGTAAAGGACAACCCTCTCACGCTTTTGTACACCTTTCTTTTGGTCGGTTTAAAGCGACAGTACGGCTGCAAAATGTGTGCTTTTTCATTCAAATTTACCCAATATGTCATTAAGAAATAAGGTTTAAAGTTTATGTAAGCAGTTTGAGAAACAGAAATATTCTCTACTCAAACAAAATTAACGTAATTAGAATCTGCCGGAAAATCAAGGGTCGTACGAACTGGAGCAATCTTAAATCTGTTTATTTGTACCACGTGAATTCTAAAACGGCACGTGCCTACACTGTAGAGTTTACAATTATAATGAATATTAGGTAAAAGCAATTTTCAAAAACAAATTATCATAACTTTCTGATAAAATAATCTAAAATAATAATCGTGAAGATTTTAGTCTGCATTCAGGCGAATTTAACAGAATTAAAAGTACAAATGTTGACGTTTTGTGTATTGGGGTCCGAGAAAGGAAAAACCAACTAATCATACGTTATCACGGCAAATGCCAAACAAAATATTTTTCTGCACAGTTAAAAAAAATTAGCATTTCAAATGGCAACAATGTTTATAAGTCAAAGGTGTATTTTTATGTTGAGTTTACACTATTTCTTTTCTTTGAAAGCGATGGAAAAATGAGAAATGATAACAAGTATCAACAAACCTGTCAATAGAACCTTCGAGAGCCCTGCGTGAGTGCCGCCGAGTTCCCGTTTCTTCCTTATCCAGCGATTATATTAACCCCCAAACTAAATTTTAGTAAGGAAAGTTGCTTTTTCAAGTTCTATTTTCAGTTTCTTTTTATTTTTGGTTGACTTTGTCAACGTAGCAGGCCTACCCCGGGCTTCCCTCTCTAACCATGCTGTTTTGTTTATGAAAACTACGCTGGCGTGCATAGCATGGAATGTGGAACCCCGAACACGTTGCTATGTATATATTTACGTCCCATAAATAACTATTAATTTTAATGAAATAATCCAAATTATTTAATTGTAAAAGTTGTAATTTTCTGAAAGTTTATACTTTTATGAGTTGTAAAAAAATTCCAAATCTAGTAGGAAAATTTTATCAAGTCAGTTTTTTGATGAGATGCGCCGTACAGTCACTTTAATACTTTGCTCTATTTAATAAGGAAATGATTTTAAAGTATATTTTTAGCCAGATCGGTTTATTACTTGTATTGTCTATCAATATAAAAAGATGAAATAAAATTGTTATTATCAAAAATAATATTTTAACTGTCAAGATAATGTTGAATGTAAAAACACATACACCATTTTGCTTAGCAAAGGCCATTTATTTCGTTAATATATCGTAAATTGGGGGAGGGGGGGGGGTTGAGGGAATCCATACAGTTTAGTTTCTTTAAAGGTCATATTCTTCTATTCTTCAAATGCATATACAAAAATTACCTTTTGTATCTTATATTAATGTTTATGAAGGGGTAGTGATTTTTCTTTTTAACCTTTCACAACTCATATTTACGGTGAACTAATAATCCAGCTTAATATAAAACTTGTATTGAGGATATTGATTGTTTAATTGTTAACGTTAGATCTTGGAAGTAAACTCAAATTCATTCAAACTTGTTATTCCTTATAATATGGCAAAGATCATTGTTGACACGCGCATTAGGGATACTAATATTCTAGAGACCATACATTAATATAATGATAATGATAATCTAATTCCAAATAATGTCCCCTAATTTGCATTATAAAACAGTAGAAATGCAATCTTGTCTGTTTTTATTTATTGGTGCTGGTGATGACATCTGCTGTGAATGAAAAATAAATTGAGAAACTAACATCTGATATTATGTCAATTAATTTTCTGATGGAAAGATGCGCAACAGAATTAAATTATGATATTTGAACACTGTTCTTGGTTGTTATTTTCGCATTTCATATAAATCATACATAAATAAATTTAATCCTTAGTGGTATGTTTCTTAGTTTTCATTATAAAGCAGCGAAAAGCAATCTGGTCCAGATGTTTTTATTTATTCTATTCATTTATGCCGGGGACTACATGCACAGGTATTGTAATGATAAAACGACATATAAAGCTATATAAAACTATATTCTGAATGAAAGTTGTACAACTTAATTAAATTGTGTTTTACTTGCTCTGCTCACAATTTGAAAAAATATTTGTGATCTTGATATATTATATAGGGATCTTATATCTTACAAAAATCTACGTATGTTCAAAACAAGCAAACAAAAAAAAAAAAAAAAAAAAAAAAAGGAAAAATAGAACCAAAAAAAAAAAAAAAAAAAAGAAAAAAAAAAAACAAACAAACGAACAAAAAACAAACAAACAAACAAACAGTACAAAAATAGCAAAAAAAAAAAAAAAAAAAAAGAAAGAAAAAGAAGAAGAAAAAAAGAAACCAAAATAATAATAATAATAATAAAAACAAAACCTACATATATATGATAGCTTGGCAACGTTAAAAACAGATGTATAAAGAAATAAAGGATACAATATGCAGTATATTTATTGCACATGGAACCAAAAAAAAAAAACCCCATGGTTTATCATTTTTTTTTAAATATATGCACATGCCATATAAATAAAAGTACAATGTTTATTTTAATTTTAGTACTTACAACTTCTTAACAAAGGATATAAATGAACCTTTTCAAAACGTTTACTTACATCTCCTTTACAATTTCCACAAACATCATTTTTGATTTGGAAGTATATCGGTGCCTTGAAATTGAAAAACATACAATATTGATTCTTGCTATTATTTTGTATGAGCGTCTGTTGGATAATACATTCAAATATTAACATATAGAAACTATGTAAAACAATATAGAACTTTTAGTCCTTACCTCTAACTGTTTTGCACAAGGTCTTTTATAGAAAGCTTCCAGTGCTTCCAAACTTATCCAAGATTTGCAATCATCTATACAACTGAAATACCTATGGTCATCTGGTAATTGGGCTGTTAAAACAGCCATACAATTCAAGCAAAAACTATCATGACATGGCTCTATTTCAGCAACAGCCTGGATTTGGACAAATCACATTTTGAATACAAGGAAAACTAATGCATGCATTTTTGTTGCTTTAATCTAATAAATTCAATTATTGACAATCAGGATTTGACAAAATGGTTCTCAGAAGAATAGTATAATATCAACTAGATGCTGTCATGAGACAGTAATACCCGCACTAATGTGTTTGCCTCTAAACACAGGCACTAGCATCGGGGGGGGGGGGGCAGAGGGGGCCTACCCCCCTTTTTTCGAAACAACTTTTTACTATTGAAAATGTTCATGAACGGGTGGTCCCCCCCCCCCCGACTTTTTGTTGCATTATAGTCAAATAAAGGTAATGTAGTAGTGTATATATTAAATTGGAGTACTGAAAGAAGTTAGAATCCACCCCCACCCCCTCCCCCCCACCCTCTACGAAATAGGAATTTTGAGCTTTGAAAAAAAAAAATGGGGGGGCTTGTCAATTTTTTTCAGGTAAGTTGAAATTTTTTTCTCTTGCTACGTCCCTGAAATGTGCTCTGACTGCTCTCCTTCAAATTCTGGTAACCAAGTAAGAAGCACACATTCAAATCAAGCATAAATAAGACGAACATGCAGCCCATATGGGCCTCTTATGTAAATCAGGTGCGGATCCAGAAATTTTTTCCAAGGGGATTCAACCCAGAAATTAAATTTCTTGACAAGCAAAAAAAAATTCTATTTCATGGTGGGGGGGGGGGGGGGAGGGGGGTTTGACCGCTCACTTTTTAAGCTTCATATGTATACCTTTTCAACTTAACAGGGGTCGGTGTTTTCTAGGGGTGGGGTGGGGGTTCCAAGGTCACTTTTAGTTGCTTTCGTATATAGATTTCATGTATAGGTTCCGGACCCCCTCCCCCCTCTAGATCCGTGCATGTAAATATTTCATTACCAAAAATCAACCCCACCCACGTTCACCCGTTTTCCTGTCATATTAAAAATAGATAACACAAACGTATGAAAAAAAAATTGTATGTAATTATAATATAAATTTTACAAATGTACACCTATTTGGAAAATTTCTGGACTCGTGCGTGGAATTACTTCACACTGCGAGCACTACTTTTACCGTTATCATTATTGTTTTGCACATGGTGTACATGTATGTACATCATTATTACCACTGGGATTATTAATATTTAGTGTGTGTTTTAAATGGATTTATTATTTTATCAAATTAACAGTACCTATAACAGGCGGTAAGTACATTATGAATATATTATTTTAAACGTTTAGTATAGAACGGGGTTTGTTTGTTGTTTAACGTCCTTCTCAAGAATTTTCCACTCATATGGAGACGCCACCACTTGCCGGTGGAGGGCTTCAAATTTTAACCTATGGTCGACACTTAGGGCCATTGAGCAGTGAGGGATCTTTTCTAACTGCATGTCTGCATGGTTTAAATGTTGAAACTCCTCAAAATTTGTGTTTATTAACCCTGCTGTTCCCCACTTGTCATAATTATTTACTGATCTTCTCACAACATACATGTGTCTTTATTAAATCAATAGAATTTTGGTCATATGCCTAGCTCTCCCTTGAATCAGGAATGGGGATCTAAATATTTTAAGAATGATTAAGAATTAAAACAGGTCTTGCACAATCTCTTAAAATTGATTAAGCTCTGTAGTTGAATTAGCTATACTGGTATAGCTTGGTTTTGCTATTCAAAATACTTTGATTTAGCTATTTAATCATACTTTTTTAATGTACATTTTTATCAATATAGATAAAAGTTGCACTATGTTGACATGTTTATAAATTTCAATTTTCAGCTTTGAGTTTTCTGAAAACAATGCATGGAGGAAAATTGCTTTTCAAAAATTGTCTCCTGAGAATTTGCTATCACAGATATATATATATATATATATATATATATATATATATATATATATATATATATATATATATATATATATATATATATATATATATATATATATATATTGCATGGGGCTATATACCTGGAGTAATCTCTCTCTTTCTCTCTCTCTAACATCTACTTGAGTCAAAATTAAAGTGAAATTATAAGACAATTTTTTTTTAATTGATTACTTTTTAGGATTTACACTTATTCATACTGCAGCAAGAATGTTATCCCTCCCAGAAAAAAAAGTTTACTCACTATTTTGTCTTTGATCTATATCTATAATTACAAAAGGACAAAGCCAGAAGCCTTTTAACATGGTTTGTTACAAATTTCACTTGAAACTCCTATTAATTTGCTCAAGATCAGTATTTTCAGTAGGCAGAAATGAACTTGGTCATGACAATTATGCTGGAAAAATACTCACTGTGAACAATCACCTGACTTGTTGAAGACAGGTAAACATACCCCTCAGGGTATAATTATCATACAAAGGCCTGTACAAAATTGAAGTCATAATTAAATCATCATTATCTTAGTTAAGATATAAAGAAGAAACACACTAGAGGTGTGATGAAATATTTAGAAACACAAAGAGTTTTATTTCTCATGCAAAATATTCTTTTTTGTGTAAAACATAACAATTGTTCAAATGAAGGGCCAAACCTTCTTTTAAGGGGAGATAAGAATGAGTGAAAATTTAATGTTATTTCAAAAATCTTCTGAAGAACCACTGGGCCAGAAAAGTTTAAAATTATGTGAAACTTCAATACTTAGTGTAGATTCAACTTTGTCCAAATCATGACCTTCAGGGGTAGGGTGCGGCCACAATAGGGGATCAAAGTTTTATAAACATGGGAATGTACAGTAAAACACGCTTATAACAAAGTGCCTGGGATGGATGATTTTGCTTTGTTATAAGTGTAATTGCTTAAATCCATTAATTTTACAAAATATTATAAAGTCATGGGGAATGAAAATCGCTTTGCTGTAAGTGTCAATTCATTATAGGGTTGTTTCGCTTTAAGTATGCTTTACTGTATAAGAAAAAAATTCCTTCTCAAGAACCACTAGGCAACAAAAGATGCATCTTATGTGAAAGTTTCATTACATAATGTAGAAACAAATTTGTTCTTTCAAAACTACTCCTCCTACAGGTTTGATGCAACAAGTAGACTATACTAGTCTACATATTGTTTTTGTCATTTTTTTTTTTCTTCAATCAAATTTTGTCCGAGCCTTAACTTGACAACCCTTTGACATTAAGACTTAAAACTTGGAACATGGAGAGGCGGTATGGAATTGGGGTTGAGGCCACCAAACTCTTTTTACCTTGACCTTTTGATAAGGTCAGGGTCAATCTTTACATAAAAATATAGTCCAGGCTATAACCTGAGAACCCTTTGACATTAGGATTTCAAATTTGTAACATAGAAAAAAGACATTTACAAAAGATGCACTGCACTAAAATGTTGACCTTGACTCCTTTCTTCATTCAAGGTCAAATTGAGAAAAACACCTCCAAACCATAACTTAAGAACCTTTTGACATTAAAACTTCAATCTTGGAACATGGAGAGGTGGTATGGAGAAAGGGTGCATGCAAACAAAATTTTTATGCCCCCCAATCGAAAGATCCTGGGGGTATATTGTTTTTGTCCTGTCTGTCTGTTTGTCTGTTTGTCTGTTTATCTGATTGTCTGTTTGTCTGTCTGTCTGTTGTCAACTTTAACCTTGCCCATAACTTTTGATTGGTTGGACCTATGACTTTCATATTTCACATGTGTATTTCTTGTCACAAGACCTGTCTTTGGGTACCATCATATTTGAACTTTTGACCTTGACCTTGGAGTTTTGCAAAGTTTTATGATCCTTTAACCTTGACCATAACTTCTGAACGTTTAATGCTTGGAGTTTCAAACTTCACATGTTTATTCTTTTTGACAAGGCCTTCCTCTGGATACCAACAACTTTGACCTTTTGACCTTGGAGTTTGACCTACTTTTGAAAAACTTTAACCTTGGCCATAACTTTTGAACAGTTGGTGCTTGGGGTTTCAAACTTCATGAGTGTATTCCTTGTGACAAGACCTCCCCTGGATATCAACCTCTTTGACCCTTTGACCTTGACCTACTTTTGGAAAACTTTAACCTTGCCATAACTTTTGAACAGTTGGAGCTAGGGCTTTCATACTTCACATATGTAATTCTTGTGACAAGACTTTCCTTTGGATATCAACCACTTTGACCATTTGACCTTGACCTAGGAGTTTGACCTCCTTTTGAAAAACTTTAACCTTGGCCATAACTTTTGAAATGTTGATGCTAGGGCTTTCAAACTTCACATATGTAATCCTTGTGACAAAACCTTCCTTTGAATACCAACAACTTTGACCCTTTGACCTTGACATAGGAGTTTGACCTACTTTCGGAAAACTTTAACCTTGGTCAAAATTTTTGAATGGTTGGTGCTAGAGCTTTCATACTTCGCATATGTAATCCTTATGACAAGACCTTTCTTTGGATACCAACCACTTTGACCCTTTGACCTTGACATAGGAGTTTAATTTACTTTCGAAAAACTTTAACATTGGCCATAACTTTTGAATGGTTGGTGCTAGGGCTTTCATACTTTACATATGTAATCCTTGTGACAAGACCTTCCTTTGGATACCAACAACTTTGACCTTGACCTTGATGTTTTACTTACTTTTAAAAAACTTTAACCTTTGCCATAACTTTTGAACAGTTGCAGCTAGGGCTATCAAATTTAACATTTTTTTATCTTTTGGCCTGGATTTTGACTTGCATTTGAGAAACTTTAACCTTAGCCATAAGCTGCCATACGGGGGCATCAGTGTTTCACAAACACATTTTATTTACCTTGTTTTTATATATGAATATGGCCGGTGCATATAGAGTTTGTCATGTCCGTCTTCCATCCTTTTATCCTTCTGTCTGTCTTTCTGTCACACTGTGTGTTTAGCTCTGTTCAAAGCTCAGTTTCAAAGAAACTATCGAAGATATTTTTATCAAACTTCATATGCTGATAGATATTGATGAGAGCTATGTAACTGCATCATTTTTTGACCTTGACCTTTCCTTTGACCTTGACCTCACTTTTCTTAAATAAGTGTTTAGCTCAGTTTTAAAGATACCATTCAAGATAGTGTAATTAAGCTTGACCTTGACCTCACTTTTCTTAAATTTGCATTTTGCTTAATTTTAAAGAAACCATTTAAGATATATTTATGTAAGCTTATGCACTTATACATAATTTGGTGAGAGTTTATCATCTATATTCAACTTTTTAGATTTCAATTTCAATTTTAAAGAAACTATTCAAGATATTCTCATCAAATTTCATATACTAAATACAAATTTTCATGTTGCATTACTAATAAATCCTCGGCGGGGCATTCATGTCCTATGGACATATTTATAGTTGTATAAAAAAAACGTCATTTTTCGACCCCCATTTCACCCCCAGGGTGAAAATGAAAATTCCAAAACCTTTCTGCACATCTACAGGACACCACCAACCATCTCCCAAAAGATGATTAGGCTACTGGGTAAAATGTAAGAGGAGTTCAGGGAACCAGGGGCTTTTTGCATAAAAAACGTCATTTTTCGACCCCCATTTGACCCCCAGGGTGAAAATGGAAATTCCAAAACCTTACTGCCCATCTACATGCCACCACCAAACATCTCCCAAAAGATGATTAGGCTAAGTACTGTGTAAAATGTAAGAGGAGTTCAGGGAACCAGGGGCTTTTTGCATAAAAAACGTCATTTTTCGACCCCCATTTGATTCCTAGGGTGAAAATGAAAATTCTGAAACCTTACTGCACATCTACATGACACCACCAAACATCTCCCAAAAGATGATTAGGCTACTGGGTAAAATGTAAGAGGAGTTCAGGGAACCAGGGGCTTTTTGCATAAAAAACGTTATTTTCGACTCCAATTTGACCCCCAGTGTGAAAATGAAAATTCCAAAACCTTACTGCCCATCTACATGCCACCACCAAACATCTCCCAAAAGATGATTAGGCTAAGTACTGTGTAAAATGTAAGAGGAGTTCAGGGAACCAGGGGCTTTTTGCATAAAAAACGTCATTTTTCGACCCCCATTTGATTCCTAGGGTGAAAATGAAAATTCTGAAACCTTACTGCACATCTACATGACACCACCAAACATCTCCCAAAAGATGATTAGGCTACTGGGTAAAATGTAAGAGGAGTTCAGGGAACCAGGGGCTTTTTGCATAAAAAACGTTATTTTCGACTCCAATTTGACCCCCAGCGTGAAAATGAAAATTCCAAAACCTTACTGCCCATCTACATGACACCACCAAACATCTCCCAAAAGATGATTAGGCTACTGGGTAAAATGTAAGAGGAGTTCAGGGAACCAGGGGTTTTTGCATAAAAAACGTCATTTTTCGACCCCCATTTGACCCCCAGGGTGAAAATGAAAATTCCGAAACCTTACTGCACATCTACATGACACCACCAAACATTTCCCAAAAGATGATTAGGCTACAAGGTTAAATGTAAGAGGAGTTTAAGAAAGAAGATTGTGACAGACGTACGGACGGACGGACGGACAGACATGAGTAACAACAATATACCCGAACTTTCTTTAGAAAGTGCGGGTATAAAAATATCCGTATAAAAATACACGAATAAACATAAATTACCTTTTTTCATTATTGTAAAACACATTTGGTGTATTGACTTACCAATTCTTGGCAAAGTTTGCAACATTTGATGCCTATGTATGGATGTTTAACCTGAAAGAAATTTACCAAATTGAATATAGAATTGCTAATATTGGTACCAGAACTTTCATTTGTAAAGATTTCATCCTCAGGCGTGTGTGTATGTTAAGGTTAGAAGTTATTGGTTATTTTTATCCTGGATCCGTTAAACTTTTGCATTTAATGCATTTAATGCACATAAGTCAATACGGATATCATAATTTATAAGGATCCTCCACAATTCATTATTTTGGTTAAGAAGTCAGTTTTTGACAACAACAGGCCTATTGGCCACATCTATCCCCAGCATCACTTATTAAACAAATTTGAATGATGTTTCTTCAATAATAAATAAGACTTATCAGGGCGTTGCTGCTCTTGAGTCGAAGATTTAAAAAAAAATCTTACATATTCTTAAACTTTAATCGCCGAATGTGGCTAAATCCTTTCCCTGAGGGTCATGATTTGAACAAACTTTGATCTACAATACCTGAACATGCTCTCAAATCAAAATTAATAATCATTACTTTGTTGTTCCTAAGAAGAAGATTTAAAATAAAATTCTTACATATTCCTAGGTAAAACTTTGATCCCTTAAAATGTCCTAAAATTTTGGGTAATTATTTGATGAAGTTTCCATTTTTGGCACAGTGGTTATTGAGAAGAGGTTTAGAAGGTGACATTGAATTTTCACTTATTCATAATTATCTCCTCTTGAAATAGGGCGTGGCGCTTTGTTTAAACAAATTAAAATTCCTTATAACCAATATTGCTTTGTGACAAGTTTGGTTGAAACTGGCCAATTGTTTTTGAGGAGAATTTAGTAAAAATATGAAAGGTTTACAAACGAACACAGACAACAGGTTGACCCCGGGAAGCAATCAATCAGAGGGACATAAATAGATTAACTTTTCCCTACAATAATAAACCATCTGATTAATAAAATTATCTTATTACTTAAGATATTAAAACATTTTGATGACTCACCATCGAAATTTTACTCTCTGAGTTTCTGTGATGGGTTTTCAGTATGCTGTTTTTGTGTGATTGCATATCAGAATAATTATCTGGCTTATATTCTTTCTTTGGTGTTGTAAGTTTGGCAGGTTCTACATAAAAAATAGAGAGGTTTTAAACACATACGATAATGCTGAATTTGAAATTAATGTGTTATTAAAACATTTTATTTCGACATTAAATAAATAAAAAATCAGACAATTAAGTCTTCTAACAGTCCGAAATGACATAACAACTTTAAATGTAATAAAGATATTAAAAAAAAAATTACACACTCAATTTGAAATATATTGAAAGAAAGTTAACTTCAAAAGTAGAAGGTATGTAAAGATCATGAAAATATTGTTTTTCTAATATACAGGGGCAATCAAAATATTGTTTGATCTACCGACTATATCTTTCAAGAAAAGATCGTTTGATCTTGTGACCTCTAAATCAATAGAGTAATATGCTCCTTTGGGATGCCCCTTCTTTTTCTTTTGATGTTTGTCAAGCATAAGGTTCTCCGCATATTAAACGATATTGAAATAATATTTCCAGAGTTTGTTTTACCCATACTTTAAGACATGTTGACCTATATACCAACTTGAAGGTTACATGTATCTAGCTAAAGTTATTCTTTATCAAACAAACAGTTTTATTCATAATTACTTTGCTAAGAAAAAAAATGATTCAAAAACAATATCTAAAGATCTGAAAGAGAACATGTTTTGCATCTTTCATAGGCAACTTCAAAGATTTAATTCAAAGTTCTTTAGACATTTTGACTTGCACTTACGATTGACAAGAAGAACATTCATAGAGGCGCTAGCGCAAACTTCGCCTAACGTTTCCGCTGAAATGGTATATAGCCCATAGTCTGATTCGGAGAAGTTTGAAAATACTACTTTCGGACGGAGGAAATCTGAAGAATCTTGTCTACAATTTTTCAGAGGATAAAATTCTTTTTCATTCTTATACCAAACGTATCTAACAAGTGGCCAGTCAGAGATGTGTATGTCTGCACAAAGAATTAAAGCTTTCCCCTCAAATTTTGATTTCAAGGAAACTCCAATAGCATCTGAAAATTAGAAAGCATATACGTTCTTAAGATTTTTTTTTCATATTATTAAAACAATATCCTGTAATACATATCAACGATAAAAATTGCTAAGACTGCCTGGTTTAGAAATCATTTTTAAATAAGTGTAAACGTACGAAATGTTTGCCTGAGGAAAGTTTTGTTGGGAATTTAATAAGAACTATATTTTCGCAAAGTTTCTAACAACCTGAACGTTTTCGAAAGAGGTGCTCTAATACAACAACAACAACAACAACAACAACAAAAGAAATTGTGAATAATTTTTGAAATAAATATCGCAAAATTTAACACCTTAAGAATTATCAGAATTACCGTCTATAGTAATACTAATACTTCTACAAAAAGAAAACGTTTGTTGCTTTACCTTTTGGAATTTCAAACAAGGCTGGTTCACTTAATAATGTCCCAAGATTACTTTTCACAACAGCCTGGTAGAGACCTTGATCATCTTTGTTTATGTTAAACACAACAAGAGTGGGTGTATTATATGAAGATTTTCCCAAATAATATTTACTAATATGTCTTTTATCTTTGAAGTCTATTTCCTTGTCATCCTTTAACCAACGAATGGTTTCAATCCTCACTGCTGACTGGATGTTGCAAATGAATTTTATTGATCTTCCAGGTTTGTTGAGAGTCATATCCACCTTAAATTTTTGGGTTGCTGTAGAAAATAAGAGAAGAACAAATTCGATGCGATTTTGATGTGACACAAAGTTACCAAGATTTTAGGGGCTGGGAGATGTATGTTCAATTCTTACATTGATAAAATTCAATGAGTTATCCCCTTTTGTTCAACCCAAATGTCGAATGATTAAAAAAGAAAGAAAAAAAAGATATAAAACACCGAAATATTCGGGCGAGGGATAGATTGACTGTGCTTAAAGATTATTCTAAGGATAGGTCACCTCATCCAGGGACAATCAAAACATATAAAACAAACGATTTTTTATTGACGTCAAATGGCAAAATTATAATTAAGAAAATTACATAGGCTAGAGCGAAACTCCCTGGGTTTTCCAAAAGATGTTATCCAGGTGACAATACTTTTAAAATTTGTCACTTTATAAGTCAAACCTTTTACTTTCTGAATTATTCGTCCGCCGAAACATGGCTGAAATATTGCCGACTTGGCGTTAAACAATAAACAATCAATCAATCAATCTGAATTATTCACACGTTTGGTTTTTGCAACTGTTATTGGGAAAATGAGGATTTTTTTAGTCATTATAATATAACAATCATCCCGTGCACATTTTCGTTGCAAAGGGAAAGTAATGTAATTCCTAAAAAAAGCCAGCCTGCACCTTATGAATCAGAGAACACTTCATGTCCTTTCAAACGCAGTAGGTCTCCATAGATTGCTTCATCGGAATTTGACATTCAATTTTGTAATTATAACATGTACATTTCAAATGTCAGACAGAGCAATTTTTTAAATATATTTATAGAATTTTTTTCTGGAAATCAGAGGACAGATTCTTATTTTCTTACCATTAGATCTAGGAGGTTTATTACATGTAATTGACAACATTTCGAGCACAAATTATTTTCTTGTAAAATCTACAATCAGATACCTCCAAGACCATGTCTTCATCTCTTTTAATTTCAAATCCTTACAGTGGGACAGACATACGGACGCCAGACAAAATGTGATCAGAGCTTTTAAGCTCAGGTGAGCTAAAAAAAAACAACTTTGGATTAAACTGTTAACCCGGGTTTTAGTTGGTAACAAATTAGGAAGATATTCATCTACAGGGTATGACATTTTTTAATATGTCATTTATTAGGAATGCATGGTTACATGTATTGCCCAGGTATAAGCAATCAGCATTAGCAAAAATGTGATCTACAACAATATAATACCCTACCTTTAGGAGCTTTTATCTCAATATCTTCACTCTTAACTACACCATCAACACTTTCCGAGATTAGAGAGTATTTCCCCTCGTCTGCATTTTCAAAATTTAATATTGTCAATGAAGGATTGTATTTGTCAGATTTGTTTTCTATGTATTTCATTACAATGTTTGAAATGAACAAATCCGTCCCGTTTTTCTGCCATCTTATACGCTTGATAGGCCATTTTGTCAAAATTTTTGCTTGAAGAACTATAGAACCATCTTCTCTATCAGGGGCACGAAGTACTGAAATCTTTGTACTTTCTGTGAAAAGAGAAAAAAATTATAACGTTCATTTGATTGAGTATGGATATAAATAAATAAATATAAGCCATGGTGTGTCACATGACATTGTGACAGTTAGAACAAGCTCACTATGCATGGAATTATAAACACTTTTAACATAGATTTGCCCCTTTATTTTAGCCCCTCACGTCACATTATTAATTGCATTTCCATAAAAGAGTCAACAAAATGCAAGTTTTAAACGACGCGCGTATAATCCACTCTCTGAAATTTCCATTAAAGCTGGATTGATTCCTTTTTTCCAAACAATTGATTTGATCACGGAAGAACGCAATTTCAGTAGGCATTTGCAAATAATAAATGAAAGTGATGCCAAAGTTACGAAGGAGAAAATTTCCAATATCATCAATGTTCACATTGATCTAACTGGTCTGAATTTTTTTTCAAAAACCTTTTAGAACTCCCTGTGCTTGTTTTTAAATTCTTTGGTTATAGGATATAAAATTCTTCAATGAAAAAAAATTAGATTACATTTAATGATAAGTTAACAACTTCATGTATATTTTCATAAAAATAGATATGCACATACCACAGGGCAAGGAAAAAAGCACTTCATCACTGATCCATATTTTGTCGTCGGTTTCTGCTTTCAATGCGTAAGACCCAACATCCATCTTCTCTAAATCATTTATCACTAGAAAGGGATGAGATGGATTCGATACATCTTCATAGAATTTTTCTGGATTTTCAGCCACTTGTACTTCATTTCCATTATGAATCCAGGATATGGCCTTAATCGGCAGGGAAGAACTCAATTCAGCAGACAAAGTCAAAGATCCATTCGCTTCATTGACTGCGAGCACTAGTTTAGCGTTTGCTGATTCTTAAATAAAGATTTATAGAAATGAGCGTGCAACAGAGTATCAAGAGTATTTCTTCACTCCTTCGACTAACGTGAAAAGTGTTCAATAGTAAAAAATGCAATACCACGTATAATAAACATAGCTTCATACCGCGGTCTAAATTCTTAACCAGAATGATATACTCGTGACAGCTTTTCAAAGAAGCTTACTGATCCTTTTTAATTTTTAATTACCTCTCTCATGTGTCCAGATATACAGAAGACTTTAAGGTGTATAGTGTACAATCCGTACGTAAGGAAACATCCGTTTTGTATCCTATATAACTACAGGCCTTTGCTCATTGTATAAACAAGCTGTGCGCCTAATTAATTAAACGAGCAAGAAAATTTACCACATCCTTTGTTAATTAAGTACTGGTCAATCTATCATGTCCCAAAGGACAGGGATAGTAGTTACTTAGTCTGTTTTTTTCTCTTTATCTTGAAGCGGCACATAGCAAAATTGCTCGAAATCGGATGATTTAAGTCAATAAAATATGTACAAAAGTTTTCGTTCTGCGAAAAATTGAATAGCATATATAGAAAAAGAGGCCTGCATGGGATCTTTTTACAACTTCTTTCAAATTCATGATATGCAGTCTATCAGGTTATTTGATTCCAACCTATAGCTAGTTTCTCTAAATTTCAAAACCTAAATATTTGAGAAAGTAAAATATTAGAAACTAAATTTTACATTTTCATGTAACATATTTGGTTTGATATGTACAATAAAACTGTTGGTTTTATAAAAAAGAAAGAATAAATTCTCGGTTTGTAATTAATTCTTCTGTAACATACCTTTCTGTTCTTGACTTTCTTTAGGAATCGTCAAACCAACCTTAATGAGAATTCTTTATTAATAATTCAAAAAATACTCTTTCATGCTTATAAATACAGTTTAAAGTTTTCATACTTGGCAATGAAAGGGCTTGTCGAAGGAAAACAATTTTTAAGGTAAAATATATCCCAGCAATGAACTTATGTAAAATAAAATTATATTATTATTAAATAGTGACATTTTTTTGGCTTTTATATCCTCTCGGCAATATACACCCCAATCATACAATTTATTTTATGATTGAATAAGTCCTATCTCTCTCTTTGGCTGCGATCCACCAATGTAGAGAAAACTACGTTATATTCACTTGCAAGTGACCTTCAAATATGAATATAAAGATTTATGTTCTCCATATTAGACTAAAAGAGATTGAGAAATTCCAAACTGATATTAAAAGCTTTAGAAAAAATTATTTCACTTGCATCTGCTTTCCACTCATATGATCATAACATTAAGGCACATAGGTGATGTGTGCGTGTGAGGGGGGGGGGGGGGTCCATGTAGGGGACACCTTTCTTTTGAGAATGTAAATTTAATTTCAATTTAAGCATATAAATGTTAAATGAAAGCTCCATTCCCCGTTTATTGACCTTAACATCCCACTAAATAAAATATTGAGTTGGGAGAATTCTCTCTTGGGGGAAGGGGAGTGTGTCAAAGATATTTTTTTCAATTTTTTTCCTTATAATGCCTTTTTTTCAAAATTGACCCTTTCATCGTGCCTTACAGTTTTTTTGATTAAACATTTTAAATAAACTGTTTATTTTATCGTGTTTCTCACATTATCTTTGGCTAGGACTTGAGTAAATGTAAAGGAGTAAAACTGCATGGATTGTCTAATGGGTTTTTATCATTTAATAATTGAATCATATAATAAAACAATTATTACAGTTTTTAGGTCAATAGGATTATTTAGCAACACTCGAAAAACAATATTCTCCTTGCTCCTCGGGCTTGGTTAATATTGTACTCCTCAGGTGTCTTAATCATCGTATTTACCTCAAAATCAGCAATAATTGTATATTATTGATACTGCAAAATTATACACATCCTCGATTTAAAAATTTTTTTTATAAAAATAACGAGTAAATTTCTATCAATCAAACTTTGATACAAATACTACATCTCACCATATATAACTATTCTTCGTTTTCGTGGACTATTAAAATACAATACGATTGACATACTAGCATCTCAAAATACAAAACGAAATCATTGTCCGCACAGTTTGTCTTTATTTTTGACATTTCATGGTCTCAGGTTTTTTTTTTTTAAATATTTTAGGTTCAAATAAAGCCCTCTTAGAAGGATTTGCTTTTACATAAGTGTCGTAGAGTTTGTATTGGACACTTTTAAATTGATTGAAAATGCACCTGTACTTACACGTAATAATAAAGAATGCATGACTTAAATAAAAAAGAAATAGGATAACATACCTTTGCATTTTTTTCTTGCAGAAACGCCCGAAATATTGAGATAGGAATGATATTGGTGCATTTGTCGAAATTGCCCCTGCATTTATTGAACTGCACTGTCTCTGTAGAAATGATATCATTGATACAATCTAGGCAAAGTCCATGCGAGCAAGCCATTCTAGTTACGAAAGCCTGAAAAGTTTGAAATATATTTTCAACCTCACATGGGAGTGAAGATATCTGAAATAAATTCTTCGAAAGAGATTCGATACATACAACAAACAGCTTGAGGGTTAGGTATCTAATGTTAACTTCATATTTTAACGTTCAGACAAAGCATATTTACCTTTTGCCTTTATATGAAAAATGTTACATACTTACGTATTTTTTGCAAAAACATAATTCCGATATATTTGCTCTCCGGAGAAAAATTTCAACCTGATTAAAAAAAAAAAAAAACTTTGAATAAAAGAGATACACAATTAATTTTGAATGACTAAATTCTTTTATCTCGGGGTTATTTTTCGATATCGCTGACACATAATATCTTACAGCCCAAGAAGCATACGTGAACATTCTATTGACAAATTATTCAGCATTTTTCTTGTTTAACATTTATGTCCAAAATATCAAATTTATATGATTTCTAAGATACTACAAACTTGAATAACCCTAGAGCCTTCATCATGTCAAATATGTATCGCAATGCAAATAAATTCCAAATAAACCTAATAACATTATTTCGTAACATTGTTCTGATATACAAAAAAATACGTTCATTACATTAACATTAAAGATAAATAACTCTACTTATCTCCTAAGAATCCCCAAAATGAAATCCTTCTGCGATTCAAAAATTCTTAAAAGCTTGTTTTTTTCTGTTTTCAGTAAATTTGCATTGAATCCTATGTATTGATCAGGTAGACGGAACACTCGGTAGTTTAATTCAGTATAAAATGACGGCCTTATAATTGATATAAAATATTTCAGCTAAATACTACCCAAAGATAGGTTATATTTGTTAACAAGGTAATCATATCGATCACGGAAATGCTGACTTAAAACGAAGATGTTGAAATCCCTGTAACATCAATTGATCTGTCAATGGCTTGCCTTGATGCAAGTACATATAGGTACTCAGAACATCCCATTGGGTAGTGAATAAGTTTGGATAAGTAAACGTCATGTGAAGGAGATAGCTGAATACTACTACATAAATAAAGAAAGTTAACGGCGAAATGCTGAATGTGATACACGCTATAAAATATCCAAATATGAAACAGATGTGGCAGGTTATGTCTGTCTTCTATTTCAAGTTAATTGGAGTGTATCAAGTTGACATATGAATAGAAGTAACTATTTTTAATTAATAAAAGGTCGTGGATTTAGATAAATGCCAGGTTGAAGCCCACAACAAGTGTTTTCCTCCCATGTAGAAAATTTTGATTAAATTCTGCTTCATTGGAATGTTACTGACTTTACGATTTATTTATATTCAATTTAATGTAGTGAAGGTAGACGTGGAAAACAATGTAGTAGATTACATTTTCCCTGTTCTTTCCATACAAATATCGCACTTTTATTCAGTTTGTGAATGCAAAATAATGAGTTTATACATCGATAAATTTTGCAAAAAGAACGTTAAATCTAATATTATTTTCATAATCAACTCTTTCCACTTATCATAATAATCTGTTTGTTGCCTTCTGCTCACAAATACATTGAACATTTAAAAAGCCAAATTAGGTCATTGTGCATTTTTTTGTTCTCAATAAATAGTAAAAAAATCAAATTTTTAACGGCAAATATATCTGTAACAGTTACATTTACCTTGCATGTAATAATAAATGTATCAAAATTTCAAGAATCGATATTATGGCATTCTTTTTTTTTTATTTTATTGTGTTTTTTTTATCAAGATAAAGGCAACAAAAGATATAATAAAAGCAGTCAGTTAGCATAATTTTAAGCGAAATCCCGCAAGAATATGCAATATTCATTTCAAGTTTCCGATTGTTTCTTAACATTGTATAACAAACTTTGAGTAAGGAAAATGTTTAGTTTCATCTCTACTTCTAAATAATAAATGTTTTGTTATATCTATATTGTTAACAAAACGCCAACATCTATGATTCTGCCAAACTATCAAAGGACGCAAGTGGCGTGGCAGAGGTTAATACTGACACGCATACACGGCTTGCATTGTTGCGTGATAATGGTCCAAACTTTTATTGTAGGAATTTCAGGCTAGCAAAACAAATATACAATATAAAACAGTTGAAAACTATAAAGTTTTATAATGAAGTTGTTCTCCCTGAAATATAGAGTATAAGATAGCTTATTCCATTTTGTTACCTTGTTCGACTTTCCAGTAAGAGTATCGATAAAGTCTTTTAAGGTTAGATATGGTGTTGAAATTTCACACTGCGGAACCAGACAAGGCATCTGTAACATGATGTTGTTACTGTGAAGAAAAGGTTTCCGTCCACTGCTTTTTCTATTGTTTGACAAACAACTCAGGCAAAAAATATGGTGTGATGCACATGATGTATTTCGAACTCTAGGCTACAAGACAAGATGTATTTTTAAATAAAAACACTAAATTTTAGCAACAGTAAATTGAAAGATGCGTAGGTGCATAAGTCTCGTAATCTTGGCGGAGGGCTAAATGCATATTAAAATTTTGGAACTACCATGATAAGAGAGGAGCATTTAAAAGATGTATATATAGTTAAAATATGACCAATTACGAACAATTGTAAGGTGGGAACCATCGATTCAGGAGCCATGAATTTCATCATCTTGGTAAAATATTTCTTTATGATCATGCAAACAGTTTATCTTGAAATTTTCACTCACATAGAGATGTCATTATATACATGTATCGGTAAAGATATTTTAATTGAGACTTTACTCGGCAGTCAGGGCCATTGGTCAGTGGGGGTTCTTTATCGTTGAAACGCCTACCATGACAAGAGACCACTGTTTTAAGGTCTCATCCAAAAGACCCTTTACTCTCACTTCAACATGTACATCGCTTGGCATAGGAACAATTGCCACCCTTTTTTATCAACTTAAGTCAGTCGCGGACAGGGAATGAGCCCAAGACCTTTCGATCACAGAGCGAGTGAGCTACAGTGGAAGATTTTTGAGGATGAATTTTATTTTCAAAGCATTTTCAATTTTCAACATAATTTTGTGTTGATGGCTAGATTGAGTAGATCTGATTTAAACAATCTTTTGTAAAAGACTTAACTGTTTATCATAATTGAATTGCTGTAAATAAATGAGTAATGAAGAAACAAAAAAAGATGTAATAAATTCTGCATAAATGACAATTTTAGGCTAACCTTACAGCTTGAATTATAGACCAGATAGACAGAACTGTTGCAATGCTAAAGTTATATGTGCATTATCAGGTGTAATAAATCAAACAGTATGATGTCATAGTTTTGTTTTTGTTTTTTTTTTTTTTTTTTTTTTTTTTTTATACAAAAACTGTTATTAATAAAATTCATACCCAATTGAAAAGTCGCCCGCGTGGCGCAGTGGTAAGAGCGTCTGCTCTAGAGTCGTGGAGACCGGTCCTTCGGATGAGACCGTATAAACCGAGGTCCCGTGTCGCAGTAGGTGCTATCACGAAAAAATCCCTCACTGCTCAATGGTAATTAGTGTCGAGTATAGGTCAAAATCTGTAGTCCTCAAGGGGCAAGTGGTGGCGTCTCCATATGAGTGAAAAATTTCTCGAGAGGGACGTTAAAAAACAAACAAACAATACAAAAAATATCTTTTCGAAGACTGCTTTTCAGTACGTTTATCGAAAAATATTGATAAAAAAAAAAGAAATTTTGAAAATGTATATTGTCTTTATTTAATCAATTTTTCAATCTTGAAAAATGTTGCTACGGGCAAAAACTTCTCTTTTTGTATTCTTATTTAGACCTTTTCTTTATTATAATTTCAATGCAAAATGGTTTCTCTGATATTCACAATTTAATCATAGATTTCTAAAGAAGCAATTATTTTGAAACTTTCAGCATAAGACTTATGTATTTAAACCAGTTTTTATATAATTTTTATAATACTGTTAACTAAAAATGTACGATTTTTTAATGCTGATATATAATTCTGTTTATTTATGTATACCATCTCTAAAAAAAACTATGCGACCGATATATTTTTGCAATTATTAGTTAATTTAATATACGAGTATATTCAGTGAAAATAAAAGCAGTTTTACTACTTTGAACCATTAAAATTGTGAGGGTGGAAATACCTTAAGAAAAAATGCTGTCATCTGACAATTGCATTTGTATTGATAGTGTTAATTGAAAAACTATCCTTACTTTGTGCACAATTGCTTTACTCATGGTGACAAATGATATAATATTTTGGCAATAAAAGACTTTTTAGTTTTACTAACCTTTAGTTTACAATTAGCAAAAATCGTCTTTAAAAAACATAAATATTAGTCAGACCTGCCTCAGATTTGCTATTATTTTTACATTTGAAGCATTCTTTAGTCGATATTTCGAGGATAAATGCTGCCTAAAGATAAAACAAAATACATTTTCTACTTCAAAAAATAAATGTTACCTGAAAAATCAGATTTTCTTTAATGAGATATGATTTTTTTTTATATTTCTCTGAAAAAAATTACAAAAATATCAACTTCAATTAATTCAAACAAAATCCCGCAATGAGTTACAAATTTTGATTTTTATAATGCCCATGTTAGTTTTTTCAGCAGAAAATAGCCCAGCAATATCATCATTTCAATTCACGGTTTATGTACTAGTTAAAATGATTTAGTTTACATATAACAGATTAAGAAATAAATTAGTCCATGGATCAATTTGGCATTGAATTTGACATGACTTTGAAAAAAATTCCAAAAATTATTTCCATCCATATGTATACATTTCGTCAATATGAGGTATGTAAGCTTGAAAGGGTTCAAACAGATTATCTCTCACATACACATGTACGTACAGGTGCTTACAGACAGAGAACTAAATAGATGGAAAAAACAATGTCAATTACAAGACTTGTACTCTTAAGACAAAGTCATATAGTCGTTTCAAAAAACAAAAAACAAACAAACAAAATGTAATGTTTCCAGATTTTGCTCCAAATGGCTCAAATAAAACTTATCTACATTTCTTTATTCCTTGACAAATCATGGTTTATGCATATGAAAAATTGCGACGCTCAGCTTTAAGAAATGAACTTACCGATAGGACAGAACGAGATAAATTATACAGATAGTCCTCTAAAATGCTTTCCTTGATTGTTGTTTGGCATAGAGTCCCCGTACATCGAAACACTTTCTTGCCAGAAAGAGTATGCCTGGTCTCGATATTATTTTTCAGCTTCGTTTGTATACATGAGTAACAGAATCCATGTCCGCAAGGTTTCAAAGCAAGGACTACCTAGAGGCAAAATATTTGTAATTTAGCTCAGGAAAAAGCTCTCAGTAAGCAAAACTAATATTTATACAGTTACAATTTCTACAATCTTATTTCAAATCAATTAGCAATATATGTGGAATATTCTTTTTTCAAAGTTTCATTGTAATTAGACCAGGCTTGGAGAGACTGATTTCCATTGTCAGCGCCTTGATTATCACCTCCTGGAATTCGGGAAAGCAGGCTAGTGGTCGGAATCTGAAGCACCTCAGAAATATAAACAGCATGAGGTCTTTTAGGTTGTTCATCATTTCATCAGATTTTGACGATTGGAAATTGAAGTTTCAAAACTATTTGTAAGTGTCTTAAATTCTGGTTTTGTTGAAACATGGGCATTCTAGTAGTAATAAGATATTTGATGTATCCAAGGTAAATGCGCATTTCTCCAAACTCTATATGATAAAAGTCTTTGATACCGTAAACTTAAATCAGGCAAACATTGGTTGTTACGTGTCATGGTTACCATAGCAATATGTCCTAAAGTTAAAAAAATGGCATTTTTCAACATGTTCAGAGTCCCATAGTTAACTTTTGCAGCAAAGCAAACAAGTGGCAATGACTGTTTCTGAAAGTTGAAGGCCTGACGTCTTTAATGCATGATAAACATGTTTGGTAAATCAACTATAGCAAATCAAAGTTCCAAAGTTTTTCACTATAGTAAATCAAAGTATCAAAGTTTTTACTACAGTAAATGAAAGTTTCAAAGATTTTACTATAGTTAACCAAAGTTTCAAAATTTTCACTATAGTAAATCAAAGTATCAACGTTTTTACTATATTAAATCAAAGTTTCAAAGTTTTCACTATAGTAAATCAAAGTATCAAATATTTTACTATAGTAAATCAAAGTGTCAAAGTATCATTATACTATTTTAATGTTTTCACAATAGTTTATCAACTTATTTAAGTATTTAAATAATTTGTTGCTTATTTTGCCGTTTTTTAAGGGGATGGTGTTGGGGTTGGGTGGAGGCTGGGGGTTGTTGTACACGTTAATTTAAATTTACAAATTAGTTAATTCAAATGCAATATTAACATTTATAAATTTAAAAAAAAACATTTTTACTGAAGTTGATGGATAAGGTATTTTGGTTCTAAATGACGCGACTTTTATTGTCCTTTTTCCATAAAAAAAGACTTTCATTACATCTGCATTGAAAAGTTCTCTGAAGCTTTTATGAATTTTGAACATTTAATATCATAAAATATCAAGAATGAGAATCAAAAACACAGTTCCATGGGTTTTTCTACAGTAAATCAAAGTATCAAAGTTTTCACTAAAGTTAATCAAAGTTCCAAAGTTTTCACTATAGTAAATCATAGTTCCAAAGATTTTACTACACTAAGTTTTTACTTTGATACTATAGTTAACAATGGTAAACTATAGTTAACTATAGTTTTCTATAGTATTGTTTTTTTGTTAGGGTAATTTTCACATTTAAAAAAAATCAATTTAAATTCTTCAAATAGAGCGTTGCTATGGAAATTAACCGCAAAAATATGCATAAAAATCTTTTTTTTTATGATTGAAACTTACCTGACTTTCAATTTTGACTACCAACCAATCTCTAACTGGATGCAAAAAGCTGGCACATATTGATATAAAGTTAAAAAAAATCGAGTATTCTCCCTTCTTGGTAACCATAGCAACGGTGTTGTATTTTTCATCAAACTTTATCAATATGTGATATTCTACTTTAGTTCTACCAGATACGTACTATTCAAGGTGAGTCAAATAACACGTTTCTTGATTAAAAGGTTAGTAAATTCCTAAAGCAGCAAAAAATATCACTTTTAACAACTGGTACGTTGTTTCCATGATTACATTGCAAAGTAACAATTAATCACATTTTTTCTTATGCTGTCTGTGTTGCAAGGTCCTAAGGATGTATATGTGCCAGTCATGAATTTTGTTGTTTTTTCCTCAAGATAGTAGCATTAACCAAATCTTAGCAACATATTTTGCATGGTTTCACTCTGTTACCATGACAACCATGAAAGTTATTTTTAGAATAATATTGCCTATACCTAATTACATAAAATCAAATATTTTATTTGTTTTTCTTGGGTTGTTGATTGAGTTTGATTAACTAATATCTGTCATTTAAACAATAAAATGCTTTCTTTGGTTGTTAGTACGGGAATTAATGTCGCAGCTGTTGCAGAAAAAATACATAACCCGCGTAAGCGGGTTATGTAAATTTTTTTTCTGCAATAGCTGCGACATAAGTTCCCGTACTAACAAACAAAGGAAGTCATTTTATTGTTTATATTTATATCTGTATAAAAAAAACAATCAAAGTATTATTAAACATGTTAAATATTGTATTATAGAAGTGTATGTCATTGTATGTATAATTGATGGAACAGCCGTTGCTGAAGAAATCTATGCAGATAGCTTGCTTAGTGTTGTTTACTCTGTGATAAACGGCAATGGGTTTCTTAAGAAATAAAGGAAATAATATTCAATGGATGTAAATATTAGTGAATATTTAACGTTTTTCAGCAATTTTCAGCATCTAAAATGTAATCCTAAATGCACCCATGGTTACCACTTACTTAGAGATATATTCTAAATAGTTTATTTTTAGTATAGGCGGCAAAAAAGTGCATGTTTTGTGAGAATAGTTTTTTTTTCTTAGTCTTTATTAAGGCTTCATAAAAATTCAAAGTAGATGAAAATCTCAATGTCAAGTTGTAATAATGGGCAAAGTTTCATCTAAGTCGGTGACCATGCGTTGCAAAAAATGTGGTTACAGAGAATCGCTAATAATTAGTTAAATGAAACAAAATGAAAACACCTGTTTAAATTTTCAGTTTTTTGCAGAGAACTTTTTCCTTTACTTGTAATGAAATTCTGAACACGGAAAATGTGTTAAGAAATGTGTCTTTCATCTAAACAGACTTTTTACCGTGCAAAAATAAATTAGTATGCATTTGTAACATAATAGTCTTACTGATCTATGAATACACTGTAGATTTTAAAATAATTTTAAATTATTATTGCTTTATTATTGTGTTTAAATTTGTCAAAACCTTATTACAGTTACGTTTTATGATAAAAGAAGGGGTATATATTTTCTGGTCAGAAACCTTACCTTTAAGGATATATATTTTGGGCTTTTTTTCATTTAAAAAAAATGCAGTTTGAATGATTTTTAGGGAAAAGCATTACTTTCTCCAGATATTCTGTTGAATGGGGAACTACTTCAATAAAAGACCTATGTCTGTTAGGAAAAAGATAATGATTTTAATTGATTACAAAATTTCACTGTACCTTTTGCTTGCAAGGAAATTGGCATTCTTGTATCTTTGGAAGTTCCAACGATTTCCACATCTAAAATATTGACAATGAATATATGTACGTAATCATATCAAATGAAATGTTTCTACATGTAATTGGAAAAGCTTACTGTTATAAAATTAATTAGTTATTATATTAGATTAAAAGAATAAATCATCAGCCAATAATTGTAAGCCATTTAACAATAACCCGTACGCGTGTTTGAATGGGTTTGGGAAGATGTGGATCAGTTGGCCGATTGAAATCCTTATCAACTGAGTTGAATATTTTAGGCATTTATTTTGCCGAGAAATTGTAATGTACACTACATTTCATAATCATAGAGATACGTTTTATGAGTTCACTGGAATAAATATAAACATTTACTTTTTAATACATTATGCATGTATCTTCTTTCATTTACCATTCATAAATTTTTGAGTTTCAGAAATCCATATGAATGTGAGATGACTTTTTATTATCTAGTTAATTAATATTCTATAATAAACAACTACTAAAAGTCAAAAAAAAAATTAACATTCAACATCTAGGCGTTTTATTGAACGCTGAGTTTGCATCACGTATACGAATACGTCCCTAAACATTTCGAATACGAGCAAGCAATATCGAACGCCCCGTTATAAAAAAAATACCAACCGCTCAAAGGCAATATTTATGAAAAGTAGTGGCAGAGAAATAAGATATTATGTCTATTTTCATGCAAAATTTTAATTATTTTCTTATAATTTAGCACCTATTAGCCTCAATAAAAACCTCAGTAAGTTAATCATAATGCTTGTTAGGGTCAATGGAATATTGTGATACTGATAATGAACACTTACAGGAAGGACGCGGATATTAGACAGTTACATTTGAATACCGATAATGAAAGATTTTCATTAATTTTGACTTATTCTATTTAAATGATTAATACAAATCAATGGAAAATGTTTTAGTTATATAATAAGGAATTGTTGAAATTATATTGGTGAATATTATTGGCACTCGTTGGCTGTACAAATGCACTTGCAAGCTCGTTCATTTGTGCGGTCAACTCGTGTCAATATCCACCAATAATTATAAGTTTAATAACCCTAAATATTTGCTGGCTTACAATTACTGAACATTTAAGTAGCCCCAAATAAAACTGAATATTAGAAAAATATATACATCTCAGTCGGAATTTTGACCCCCATCCCTCCCTCCCGCGGAGGAATACAAAAATTCGAGAATCCAATATTGATTCTATTTACTCAATGAATCAATTAATTGGTACTTCAGGGATCGATTTAAAAGATCATATATATATATATATATATATATATATATATATATATATATATATATATATATATATATATATATATATATATATATATCGAGGGTAACCTATGTTTCATCAAGTTCTAATGACTGCGACCAAAAAAAAGGGGGGGGGGGAGCTTCGCCAAAAATTGCCTATACATCTGCATTTCAATGAACTGAAATGTTTTAAGAACTCTGATATATAACGTAAATAATTTTTTTAAAGCAAAATATTTTTGCTAGCTTGGAATTTTTCATCTGTATAAATTTGTAGATCTAACAATGTTTTCGTCCCACATCTGAAAGACGCTTGAGAAACGTGACTTAAGGAGAAAGGGGAGGGAGGGGGTGATTTTTCGCAATAAATTCAAATCGGCTCCTTCAAAAAAATTACAAAAAATTATCAAGATTACTTTTGTAACCAGTCACATGAAAAAAGTATTTTATCAAAAATTAAACGGTAGGTTTTTTTCATAAACAAATATTTAAATAAAAAAAAAATACGCTTTTTTAAGGCTTAAATGAAACATAGTTTTTCAGTTTAAGTTCTTCAAAAAATATTTTGCCAATGTGTACCTCTACAAAAATACTCTATTTGTGTGGTTAATGGTAATATGAATGAATCAATGAAATTTGACAGCCAGACTAGCTGAACTTTTTTGATTATCAAGGATTTTATAGCTAACCGATTGAAAATTTCTTCTCCGCGTGAATAACCAAAGGGGGGGGGGGTAACTTTTGGAACTTCCTGTCCAAATACGACTCAAACGATTTTGTCCAAAATGTGCATACGCATTGTATATATATAGTCATGTATAATATATACAAAAATAGCGAAAATTAAACGACAGGAAATTTTTGGTGGTGGGTTTGTTGTACGTCCTTAAGATATAACTCGCATGTTGACATAAATAAGTTGCATGTTGACATAAATAAGTTGCATGTTAACATAAATAAGTTGCATGTCAACATAATTATGTTGCATGTTAACATACATAAGTCGCATGTTGACATAAATATCTTACATGTTAACATAATTATCTTGCATATAAACATAAATAAGTCGCATATCAACATAATTCTGTTGCATCTTGCATGTTTGATGTCAGATACTGGCGTTAGTAAGTAAATTAAAGTTATATTCTCTAAAAAGATTGGTTACGTGCTAAGCATGTTGACATATTTTTTTGCATGCAGACATAATTACCTTGCATGTTGACATATTTTTCTATTGAAATTCAAGTTTGAAATTCATGTTCAATCCACCTCAGCTAAGCTAGAACGCACGGTGTTACTGATTGACCCAGAAGACAAATAATTTCAATTTCGGTATAGTTTGAATTTTATATAAATCAGAAATTTCTGCCCTGTGTTTTAAAGAAATATAAAGGGACAAATATTTGATTTCTGTTTGGTATATGTATGTGTGTGTTCGGGGGGGGGGGGGGGGGCAACCATTTTGGAAATAAATAAAATAGTTGTCAAACATTTTTCAGTGAGGACGAAACTAAAAAAAGCTCTTGAAATAAGAAATAAATATATTCTGTCATGTGAAGGCATGATCTGACTGGACAATTTTTGACAGCCCCCCTTCTAGAATCCTAGAATCCTCTGAAAAAATAATGGCGGTCCTCTGAAAAAAATAATCTATGTCTTCTACGACTTTTACGTGCATGTCCTTAAACTTATAGGTTAAAAACTCATATAAATATGAATTTCAAACTTATATCTGGGAATTGAAATTATTTGTCTTTTGCATCATACATTCACACTTTGCTTTTGAAAGCAGCTTAGGTGGATTGCAAATGAATTTCAAACTAGAATTTCAATCCAATGTTTTCTAGGACGTCCGTGTCGAATTGTACCCGCCCATTTCATTGTTTATCATTAAATATTTTGATTGTAACTGATGGAAATGACTAAGCTGCATCTTTCCAATCTTGCCAGTTCATGTTCCGCGGTCTTATTTTACTGATAAACGTATGTAAATACGTCAGTTTTCTCACTGCTGTGTGGCTGCTTTCTTGGACCATGCATCACACTGGTTATATGAAATCCATTATAAAAATGATTTCTTTTCTGTTTTCTTTTTTTTTTTCCATTTTGAAGCATATAATCATCGTTGATTCATTTATGTGTCCTTGTGAGTGCAGTTGTTTATCTTTTCATCTTTTGAATACATTATACATGTATCTCTTCATATACATACCTCTATGGCTTGAATCTCCTTATAACATGCATCGACTTCTGTATTGCTGATTATTGTTGTGCAACCTAGTACATTACATGTTCTTTGATTGCTTTTAGAATCTATTCTTTGGAGACATTGGAGACAGAACAAATGTCCACATTTCCCTCGGTAGTGTGCCTTTATAAATTAGAAAATCTTAATTTACTTTTTCTTATCAATTTCATCGTTAATCTTTTCAATATATTATGTAATTATGTTAATATATGTTATATCAAAAAATATACCAATGATTTATATTTGCATCTTATAATGTCTAATATAGAATTCTCATAATTACGTTACTCCATATATGATATTTTGGTTCAGAAACAAAAAGATTTACCTCTTGTTTACAGCATTGCATGCAATAAAACTACAAATAAGATGTAAAATAGTTCAGAGATACAAGTATATAATATGGAAGATCATTCTACTTGAATATACTTTTCAATTTTTTTTAAATCACTTACAAAAAAAAAAGAAGCTAGATTCATTGTATGCATAAAATGAACCTGTCCTTATACCAAATTATTTACTATGACCCTACGTCCCATTTCAAAAATCACTGTAAAGTGAAAACTTTGTGATTCCATCTCCTACAACAAAGTTTTCTTTAACATTGGCAACAACTTTTCACTGGGTGGAGCTATGGCTTTCATACTTCGATTTTTGATAACCGGTTACTCGCTTACTTTTCCGATCGAGTAACCGGTTACTCGGATGGCTTTTCTTTAGAAATCGAAACATTCCTGTTTGCGGTATATATACTCAGCTGTAATATATATTGCATGTAATGTCGTTACAATTTCTATATTTATCTTAGCATTTGTTTATCGGTATATAGAAAACACAAATGCACTGCATATAAACTTTATTCATAATTACGAACACTATCTTCTAAAAAAAAATGTTCTCGAAGACTCGTAATCTTTGGTTGTTTTGTACTTACATATCGCTGTTTCACAGTTAAACTTCAGTCTGAAGTGGTTTAGTATATTAGTTGTCCCACCTGTGTATGCTAATTCCGTTTCACATAACCCGTGTATGCTAATTCCATTTCACATCATTTACACCTCAGGGATTTAAATTCAGCCATTCTTTTAAAAAATATTTCCATGCCTTCGATGCATGTGGCGGCATCTTCTTTAATATTTTACTGCGGACTAGCACTGGTTTATGTGAGGTAATTATAATCAAATCTTAACCTTCTTGTATACAACTCGGCAATCAAAGCAATCAATTGCAATAAATTAAACTGTGAAATACTAATCAAAACAAATTGATCACATTTGTGGAACGCTAGGTCGATACTTACGTTATATAACGGTAAGTAAAATGGGGACATTAGGAACAAAATACATTATTCCTACTGATTTTCTTTATAAAAATCAATATATAAGAGAAACCCAGTAGCAGATTTACCAACCGATTATCCGGCTAACCGGGTACTCGTTGACAACACTAGTACCAACATAATTGACCTCTTGACCTTGACCTTGGAGTTTGACCCACTCTTGGAAAATTGTACCAAACTTTAACCTTGGCGATAACTTTTGAACAGTAGGTGCTTGGGCTTTCATACTTTACATGTGTGTTTTTTGTGACAAGACCTTTCACGGGATATAAATATTTTTGCCCTTTTGATTTTGACTTTTGAGTTTAATCCACATTTTAAAAAAATTAACCTTTGCCATAAATTTAATTTCAACAGTTATTACTGAGGCCTATAAATTTTTCATGTGTATTCTCGGTGACAAGACCTTCCTTTTGACACCAACAATTTTGACCTTGAACTTTGAGTATGACCTACGTTTGAAAAACCTTAACCTTGGTCAAAACTTTTGATTAATTAGAACTAAGGCTTAAATATTTCAAATGTGTATTTCTGAAGACAAAGCATTCCCTGGGTACATTTAATTTTACCCTATGACCTTGACCTTGGAATTTGACCGTTATTTATAAAACATTAACCTTGGCCATAATTTTTGAATGGTTGGTGCTTGGGCTTTAATATTTCACAAGAATTTTCATTGAGACAAGTCCTTTCTTTGTGTAACAAAATTTTAAATCTCTTGACCTTGGAGTTTGACTTGCATTTGAGAAACTTAACCCTCACCAAAAGCTGCCACACAAACACATCTTGTTCAAGTTAGATTATCATGGTCATTGAAAATTACATATATGTTTTGCTAAAGGCTGTTTTCATAGAATCAGTACAACTCGCCCCCAAGACAAGTCGCCCCCAGCACTATTAAAGACAGCTCGCCCCCAATTTAGGACAACTCGCCCCCACTCAAGACAGCTCGCCCCCATTATAGAGACAACTCGCCCCCATTATTTTTTCTTGTGAATTGCAAGGGAAAAAATAACTGTTATTCAATTAAGTATATTTTATATGCAAATTTAAATCACAATCAATATTTACGATTGTAATAGGTTGTTTATTTTTTTTATGCATTCACATCATATTTTTGTATAAGAACACAATATATGCATAAAAAGATTTTTCATAATATCCATGCTTTCTTAAATTTAATTCTTATGAAATAGAGTGAATAAATGCATTTTGATTTTTCATATTTTTTTTTTAATTTATATTTATAAAATATGTCTATTTTAAAAGAGCACCGGCATTGTCCTCAGTGTTAAAACATCTTAATTATTTAATGACGAAATTAACGTTTAACTGACGGCTTTAAGACAGTATCTATATTTTTGCCTGTATACAAAAAAATGTTTAATTTGATTTTTGATAGTGGAGTCATTCCAGACGAATGGCTCACAGGTATTGTCAAACCGACTTTCAAAAATAAAGGCGACCCAACAAATTCAGAAAATTATCGTCAAATAACACTTTTAAGTTGTCTTGGTAAGCTTTTTACCTCCATTTTATGTAAACGTTTGGAATGCTATGTAGAGAATTTAAACCTTATAAGTGAAAGTCAAACTGGCTTCAGGAAAGGGTATTCGACCTTAGATAATATACTGACTTTACATTTTCTTACAAACATGGTTATGTCTTTCAAAAAGAAACTTTTCTGTGCTTTTGTTGACTTTAAACAGGCATTCGACACGATGTGGAGAAATGAGCTTTGGTACAAATTGTTAAATAATGGCATTAGTGGTAAATGTTTTACATTTATAAAAAATATGTATAATGGAGTTAAGTCCCTTGTGACTATGAATGGTTTTTCATCTGAGTTTTACAACTGTAACATTGGTGTACGCCAAGGAGAAAATTTATCGCCTCTCTTGTTTTCTATGTATATTAATGATTTAGAAGAATTTCTCACTTGTAAAAATGTGCATGCGCTATCCTTTAATGCAAGCAGTTCAAACACTGTAGAAAACCAATTTTGGCTGTATTTTAAATTATTTATTTTGTTCTATGCTGACGATACAGTTATGATGTCTGAGTCTGCTGAGGGTTTGCAATACGCTCTTAATGAGTTTCATTCGTGTTGTTTACAATGGAAAATGAATGTCAATGTAGACAAAACAAAAATTATGAAAGGCCCATCTGTAAAAAATGTATTCTACTACAATAATTCTGTTATTGAAATTGTGAACGAATTTAAATACCTAGGTATACTATTTTCCCGATCTGGTTCATTTTGTAAGGCTAAAAAACATTTATGTGAGCAAGCTCAAAAAGCCATGTATGGTGTTATACGAAAAATTAGACAATTTAATTTACTAGTAGATTGCCAGCTTGATTTGTTCGATAAAGTTTTCACACCAGTACTTTTGTATGGATGTGAGATATGGGGTTTTGAGAACATTGAAATAATTGAACGCGTTCATCTTAAATTTTTGAAATATATTTTTAATCTAAATAGTAGTACTCCTAGTTATATGGTTTATGGCGAAACGGGTCGATTCCCTTTGTATATAACGGTGTATATAAGAATGATATCCCACTGGGCAAAATTACTGGTAAGCCCTGAAAATAAGATTGTTTATGTTACATATAAGAATTTATTTGAACAGTTTTGTTCAGGAAGTCATAAGAACCCTTGGATTTTATGCATTAAGAATATACTTGATACTTGTGGCTTCTCAAATATATGGAATGAACAGACCTTTTTAAATATAAAATGGCTCAAAACTATAGCTGAACAACGTCTTAAAGATCAGTACATACAGAAATGGCAAAGTGACATGCGCGATTCGTCTAAAGGTCATATGTACAGTATCTTCAAAACAGAATTTGGATATGAAAAATATTTAGACTTACTACCTAAAATATTTAGAACAATTTTAATTAAATTAAGAACAGCAAATCATCGTCTCCTAGTTGAGACTGGGAGGTGGTTTGGAATTCCCAAAAATGATAGACTCTGTAATATCTGTAGTAATGGACAAATAGCAGATGAGTATCACTATATTTTAGAATGTCAATTTTCTCAGAATGCAGAAAAAAGTATCTACCTAGTAAATATTGTAATAGACCAAATTTCTACAAATTCTCAGAATTGTTGTCAACTGCTGACTCCAAGGTATTAATCAAACTATGCAGCTACATAGATAGGGTATATGAACAAGTCTGTCCTCCATAATAATAATAATAATAATTATTATTATTATTATTATTATTATTATTATTATTATTTTCTGTTACTTTATAATTTGAATGTAATGAATGGTATTTCCGCCATTTCACGTGTATCTTGTATATTGTTTTTGTATATATATTGTACATAGAACCCCATGTACCATTAATTGGTTTGAGTGAATAAATTGAACTTGAACTTGAAGAAACTTATGATAATGATTATTACTAATTAAATGAAAACATCAGAAAAAAAATTTAATGACACCCCAAAGCTAACAATTAATTTGGATACTTCAAAGTGACGACTAATTAGAACATGCAAGCTCCGAAAATTGCGTATATTTAGTTGTTTTAAAAAATTGGCGTGCCGTATCCAAGCTCCGAAGCAGCTTCAACGTGATGAAGAATTAAAGCATGCAAGCTCTGAAAATTACGTATATTTATAGAAAACAGAAGTCAATTAAGGGATTAAGTGTCCATCTCTGACTGTGCCTCGGGTAGGATTAAGGATATGTAGAATTTTTAGAATTAATCACATTTGTCGAAATATACGAAAAGTTCTTATAACAATTTACACGGAGTCCGAAAAGTTAATTATCACAGTAATTTATAATAAGTCCAAAAAGTCGTATTTTACACCGTAACATATATATATATATATATATATATATATATATATATATATATATATATATATATATATATATATATATATATATATATATATATATATATATAATGCCAGTACCGACAAAAGATATTAGTGTTAAATTATTTGTGTTGTGTTTTATTTTCAATAAAATTGAGAAATTTTATTTTCAGTTGTTTGTTTTAACTTTCTAGGAACATACTTAAATTCAAATATCTATATAATATATTTAATATTTGTTGGTTTCTTAAACTGGGGGGGGGGGGGGCGTGTTGTTTTAAATGGGGGCGAGCTGTCCTGTATTGGGGCGAGTTGTCCTAAATAGGGGCGAGTTGTCTTGGGGGCGACCTGTCTTGGGGGCGAGTTGTCCAGCATTCGTTTTCATGAAATGCTGATCACAGTGAAACACGTGTTAAATTAATTAAAAAAAGAATACAGAATCATCTTTAGAAAAGTCCATAAGTGTGTGTATTGCTTACAACTTCGGCCAAGGTATTTATCAAAGTTTGTGGCGTTGTCCAAGATGAGAATTCTCTAAAACACCTAACACACTCAGGACAAGCGAAAACTGTTATTTTTGAATCATCTTCATCAACAACAAATGCGTTGGAGGATTTTAGGCAGCATGCACACACCATGTGGGAGCATCTTTGGAAGAAAAACTTCACCTATAAAAGGCATGCACGTTCATATTTTAAGACACGCAATAAATTTTTGTCACAACGCTATTTTAAATTAAAAGAAAAGAAAAGGGGAGACATACCAACAATTTTAACTTCTATTGTCATGATATCATCAACTTTAAATCTAATCACTATATTGAAAACTATAATAGTTTATTCCAACATTTTTATTATTAAGATTTTTTTTTTCAAATTATGCTTAGACGAAAACAACTGAGCACTGAGCTCACTAATAGATACCCCGCCTGCCATATGATTATAATTGCAAAGTCCATGTCTTGCTCCGGGAGACCCGAAATAAGAGGCAGATCAAAAAAGAAAAATAGGAGGTGCACAATGGCATTATGTAAAAAAGAATCTGTGAAAGTATAATTAAATTTTATTCAGTGGTAAACAAACAAACATAAAATGAAAGAATATGATAAATATTTTAAAGATTTGTGAACCATCACTAAGGGTAAATGGGATCACTTAGTTTAGATAATTTTCTCTTCAACACTCAAGTCATTAGGGGAAAAAAAAACCAGCCAATCACACATGTACCTATATATTTGTCTGTCTACATGTTGCTGTCTGTCCGTCTAGCTGTCTGTCTGTCTGCCTGAGAGAATGGTTGTTGCCTACCTAAGACCTAATTTTCATGTATTTACCTCTCTATTACATCCAGCAAATATACATCGTAAGGTACCATGAGTTTTAACAAAAATGGATTGTTGTCGAAATTCAACCTGCATTATTACTGAAAAATAATCAATAAAATTCATTTTAAGAAGTAGTCTTGAAGGAATATGACATAAAAAAGTTAGCATAATTCTTCTTACATATATAAAGTGTGCAAAGGGAATTTAACTTTAGTCGGCATTATGTACAATATGAATCTTATGAATCAATATGAGGACGTAATTTTAAATATATACTTGCCTGTTTTTCCATCAACCTAGCTTTCGATCTCGTAATATGTTCAAAGTTTGTATGTCCACACCATAAAACTGGAACCTTTTATCGAAATGGAATAAAAAAAAATAAAATGATATGAAACATTAAGTTACATAAACTTAAAGCTTCTTATAGGGTATCTGAGCTAAAAAGAAACAAAACGAGATTGGGTGTAGATATACAAGATATATGCTTTGTACATCAAAATTGAAATTTTCATCGATTTGAAAATACTAGATAGATCTAATACAGGGAGTTAACCTTACAGCAACAAAAAGTGGGTTTAGTTTGGGCAGCCATCCTTTCAATGAAAATGTTCAAATGCATAAAATTAAAAGAAAATCATTTTAAATAAATGTACAAGTACAAATGCGACCGACGTTTATCGATTAATTTTGAGACAGTTTTTTGTGTTTGTTTACTGGGTACATTTGGGGGGGGGGGGGGGTCACTGTTATCTTTTACTTTTACTGGCAATTATATTTTTGATATTCATGATGAACGTATATGTTATAAATACATTTTAAAAAAAGTGAATAATTATTACGTAAGAATTTTAATCTAATGCAAATTCTCAGCACTTGAAATATAACTATTTTTTTTATAGCCTGACGCTACATGCGTCAGGCAGTATAAGGATCAATATTTTCATAGTCCGAAACTAAGCGATCATACTTAGTGAGCTAGATTTTGTGCAAGCTGATTTACATCGGAATTTGTTCCCTGCATTTAAACAGATACAGTTTGCAGAAGAAAGAATCATATTACTGAAGCAAAAATAATGATGTGTTTATTTCCTTCAGTTTTTTGGGATGCACCTGTTTATTCTTTGATTCTTTATACGGTCTGACATGTCCGTGTAACATTTTTTTCTGCGTTTCTAAACTACTGGATCAGTCTATTTTTCTTCTGCAAAAAGGGTGACACAATCATGTTGCGCCAAATGTCACAAGGAAATTATCTTCGCTCCTTTTTCTTGGATTGTTCTATTGAATGGGTATGATAATTCTATGGAAATAAATAAAGTTTGTTCTTTTAACCTGATTCTCAAGCTTCAGATTTTTTATTAACTGCAAATTTTTCTCATTAAAAAACACATTCTATATGGGCAGGCATCAATAAAAGCAATGGATTTGCTGATTATTCTTACTATTTTGTTTTCCGGTTATCCCTAGTTAGAATAATCTGTGTCTCGGGACAAGCCCTCACCACAGTTAGAATACGTCCCATATACTTGCAATGTAGCAAATCGGAGTGGATCCACTAAGAAATGATTTTGAAGAATACAAAAGGAGTTGCACTGAAAATAACTACCAAATTAATCATAACAATCCTTTTTGAGATTGTATATGTCTTTTAACCTAAAAAATAATCCATATAAATACGAAAATTCAACTAATTTTCTCAACGTTTTTTCCTCGCTATAAATTTAACGCCATGTTGACATTCGGAACTCTCTGGATTGTTCATAGAGAATGCATAGAGTACGAGTTATCGCCCGTGTTTATTTTGCAACATTGCCAATACACGGAACGAATTCTATCGTTAAACCGGGTCCGTAGGACAATATCATTTTAACGATAGAACTTTCTATCTAGGATATCCCTTAAGTGGACTAAGTGCACCTACACAACAGCATGACCACAGACTCGTACTCAGGCTCCCGGGGGACATCCCTTCTTGATTTAGTCTGTTTTCCACCTTTTCTTTCAATATTACAAAATAATGTACGTTACAAGGTTAGCTTTTTTAAAAAGCTTAGAAAGTCAGCCAGTAGCATATTATTCAATGCTTTCTGATGAACAAGGGTTTCCTTTTAATGTTTTAATACAGTGACAAGAGTGTATGCCAGTATCCGTAGAGGAAATGGGCTTTACTCCCGTAAGATTCTAAGTAAAGAGTCGGCAAAATGATTTAAGAAGACATCATGATCTGTACTGGTTTTCATTCATTAAAAAAAAAAAAAAAAAAAAAAAAAAAAAAACGTTATTATAGAAGAAATAAGAAAAATCCTGATATCGATCGAAAAGAAAAACTGTAAACGATTTAACAACTGTACATAAAGATATATTTTAAACTCATTCATAATATATGGTAAGACCATCATCGTAAGTGGGTTTTTTTCGGGGAGGGGGGGTATTAATATCTTGTTTTGCTCTACCTATAAATAGGTCGAGACCACTATATTTTCTGACGTCAGCATAAATTCGCATATCAAATTAGCTATCTGTTTACTTTACCGACTGACCAATCAGTTGAATGAGTCGCAATGCATTATGGGCTACTACAAGTATCAATACGAACTCAGCTGTGTTGAAAATAAAGAGCAACTTTAATTGTCCCTTGGAAACTCATTAATTTTTTCAATTCTCTCTCTCTCTCTCTCTCTCTCTCTCTCTCTCTCTCTCTCTCTCTCTCTATGTTTATGTTATATTTAGAGTACGAGTTTTTCACTGTATCGGAGATACAGGGCGGGGCTTAAGGCGAGAGCGATAGCTCGAGCCGGGCCCCGCCCTGTATCTCCGATACAGTAGGAAACGAGTATTCTAAATGACTTGTGACATGACCTTTCTTATGACCTCGCTAATTTACATGTGTATTTGGGTATATATCTCTCAACCAATCAGATGATTTTGCAGAAAATTGATTTAGTACCCCCATTTTAGCAATCGCAACTGAAATGCCGAGAGAGGTGGACGTTCAGGTACATGTATCTATCAATTTAAATAATTATAATTAAGAGATGCAGTATATAATGTGTTTTCCCAAAATTTAATTTATATTTGATTGCGTAGGTTTTTTCCTTTCTATTCAGCTCTTGCTGTTTTTTTTTTTAAATCTAAGCTACGAATTTAGTGCAAAACATTTTGATACATAAGAATCATGCATGTATGGGAATGTATTTAAAGCAAAAATGTTTCGGGGAGGTTGTATTCTGAGAGACATCGACCGGTCGTCATACATGTATACAAAATTCTGGGCTCCAAATTGAAATAAACAGATGTAAGAAAGGGGGCATATTACCTTCATGTTTGAAACAAAATGTAGGGGAACCAAAAGCAGATGCAGCACTCACTCGCGGCGCGCGTCGGTATCCCCCCTTTCGAGTTTTTTTTTCTTTTTTGGCTTTCGTAAATTATGTTTGCTAAACTTGTATACACTTTTAATTTATCAACACGAAACGATCACGCACAAATGGTGTCAGGCCGGATTATGAATCTAACCCCCCCCCCCCCCCCCACGAAACCCCAGATTTTCCAGTTTGGAATTTTTTTTTTCTCGAAGAAAACCATTTGTGTACTGCCCCCACTCCCTCCTTTCTAAAATTTTTGAATCCGCCACTGGTAACTTTACGTTGTAAAACTAATTCTTAATTCATTTCAAATTTTGAATAAATACTAACAGCGCTATCATGCGATTTGATTGATTCTTATGTCTGTATCATTTAAGATACGGATTCAGTTTTCCGTCATCGCTAAAAATAAACCGTACTGTATCGTTGATATTTTGCAGATACAGTACAGTTTCTGCTCATTTGCATAAGAAACGCCCACTAAAAGTGTTCTGTATCGCAGTTATTGTACGGCTGACTTCAAAGGAAAACTCGCCGGGTCATGTCACAATGTGTCGATAAAGCATTGAGTGTGTTTTTTTTTCACATGATATACATGCACACAGTTTAAGACAGCAGTACAAGGTGCGCAATTATCATTTACATGTAACTCCTCAACATCAAAATGTTTTTATGTAATGCAAACGTCAGAGTGTTTGTACGGTATTTGAAGCAACTATATTAAAGCGACAGTACGGCTGCAAAATATGTGCTTTTTCATCCAAATTTACCCAATATGTCATTAAGAAATAAGGTATAAAGTTGATGTAAGCAGTTTGAGAAACAGAAATATTCTCTACTCAAACAAAATTAACGTAATTAGAATCTGCCGGAAAATCAAGGGTCGTACGAACTGGAGCAATCTTAGATCTGTTTATTTGTACCACGTGAATTCTAAAACGGCACGTGCCTACACTGTAGCGTTTACATTTATAATGAATATTAGGTGAAAGCAATTTTCAAAAACAAAAAATTATCATAACTATCTGATAAAATAATCTAAAATAATAATCGAAAAGATTTTAGTCTGCATTCAGGCGAATTCAACAGAAATTAAAAGTACAAATGTTTACGTTTTGTGTATTGGGGTCCGAGAAAGGAAAAACCAACTAATCATACGTTATCGCGGCAAATGTCAAACAAAATATGTTTCTGCACAGTTAAAAAAAATTAGCATTTCAAATGGCAACAATGTTTATAAGTCAAAGATGTATTTTTTATGTTGAGATTACACTATTTTTTTTTCTTTGAAAGCGACGGAAAAATGAGGAAATGATAACAAGTATCAACAAACCTGTCGAATAGAACCTTCGAGAGCCCTGCGTGAGTGTCGCCGAGTTCCCGTTTCTTCCTTATCCAGCGATTATATTAATCCCCAAACTAAATTTTAGTCAGGAAAGTTGCTTTTTCAAGTTCTGTTTTCAGTTTCTTTTTCTTTTTGGTCGACTTTGTCAGTGTAGCAGGCCTACCGGGATTCCCTCTCTAACCATGCTGTTTTGTTTATGAAAACTACGCATGCGTGCATAGCATGGAATGTGGAACCCCGAACACGTTGCGATGTATATATTTACGTCCCATGAATAACTATTAATTTTAATGAAATAATCCAAATTATTTAATTGTAAAAGTTGTAATTTTCTGAAAGTTTATATATTTATGAGTAGTAAAAAAATTCCAAATCTTGTCGGATAATTTTATCTAGTCAGTTTTTTGATGAGACGCGCCGTACTGTCACTTTAAATCATCTAAAATAATTCCAATATTAAATGTGAGCACGGACTCATTCTTTCCGGTGACCAAGTAAAATATTATGCAGTAATCCAACGACAACCACATGTCGCTGTTGAATCGTAAACACGTAGTAGACCGTCATACTTTGCGATTCATTCAATTGATTGGAGAATGGGCTTGACTTTGCGTCCTAGAGCAGCATTGAAGCATTTTTGTCTTAAACACTTCAAGAAAACTTTCCTAGTTAAAACTATTCACAATGTACTTCGTCGTCGAGAACGACGGAAAACAGACCAGTCTATAAATAGAGGCTGTCTCATCAATCTGTGTACATTAAGAAGCGCGCCCTCTGGTAAGAGAGTACTATCATTCCAATAACAGCGTGTCACTTTGCTTGATCAAGCGTGCTAAAGTTTCACAAATTGATTACCATATTACTCATCGATTGGATGTTTGATTTGAATGAAATCAATGCCACTTTGCATAAGAAACACAGAATCCAACAATACCCCGATAATATTGAATTATTGTTTACCAGTGCGCCAGTCAGCAGCAACACGTGGTCAGTCAAAGCCCGTTTTCTGTCCTCAAAAAAGCATGTGTCATATTTGATGTGATTTGACCGAATGGAGTTAATACATGTATGTATGAGAAAATTTAAAGCATGAAATAAGTAAGGCTATACTCTGCTACTATTATAACCGCCCGTTTTGTGGTGTCTCTCCACCTTGGCGATTACTAGGGAATTAGCTCAACACTCGCAATATTTTCCACATTTATTGAAGTTAATAAAATACATAATAACAATCTGGGGAATCAGTTACTACTCTTCACTCCTTACAATCTATATGGGGAAACTCGCTATATTAAATAGATAGACGGACAGACAGACCTTATGACAATGAAGTTAACGTTACGGCTTTACGGACACTTCTTAATCTGACGTGTATATTTACTCTAGCTCTGTTTCTTACTAACTCCCCTCTTTCACTAAATCACACTTTATAAAACATCTACTTTACTTTGATTGACATGTCCAATCAGAAATTAATCAGTTACATCTATCCAACGACTGTCAATCTTTATTACTCAAGACTGACTATCGCTAAAGGTTAACGCCCATTATTTCACCTGCGTTAATCCGCTAATTGTTACTTAAACGTTTTAACTCAATTACTGCCAAACACTCTTTTGATCTTGAAATGCATTGTCCATCTGTCCTCACTATCTTATAAGTATTTACCCTTAAGCAATATTTAATATCTTTGATTTACTATTTCATTGTTACAGTTAAGACTTTTTATAAACATTAATTTACGTTCTATCAAGAAGAATTTCATAAGATTGCGTATGTAAAATATATACTCATAAACAAGCCGAAAATAGAAAATATTTACGAATGTGCAAAATATACATTTTGCACGGTCATATTATTATACTATATGACGATCAATATCATCATTATAAGGATTAAAACTTTGCCTGTCCACATGTGATTATTGTTTACTGCATTCTCATGAACAATCAATCATTCAATACGATTGGTCAGCATTGCTGGGTTCTGTATTTCTTATGCAACGTATAGAAATCAAACATCAAATCGATGAGTAATATGGTAATCAACATGTGAATCTTTATCACGCTCGATCAAGCAAAGTGACACGCTCATACTGGAATGATAGTAATATGAATTTCTTCAGAACGACTCGTCTAACAATTTTCCCCAGAATTCCAATCTACGCAAGTGCACTTGCAGTTTCATTCCAACATAACTAGTCATCCCGTGGGCTAACTAATAAATGACCAAACAGTGGCATGTCTTACATATTATATGACATTTGAGAAAGTCCATTGTACATCTTGTGTAATGAACTATCGCAACTATGTCGTTCCTTGATGACGGAAACGTTTAGCACTTCTTTTGCTTAATATGCGTTTCATAGATATCGATTGATTTAGTCAGGCACGCTTTTTGAAAAGCTATTACTTAATTGTCAAATGTTAAGAATGATATTGATGTGTGCTTACCTTTCTTGGGTATCATATTATTATGGTAAGATTCCCATGCTTCACTGAGATTCAATGCAAAAGCATGAAATGTCTGAAAATATTTAGCACACCGAGATTATACTTGTACAAAGATTTTTAAAAAATCATTTAGATTTCCCCTACATGCGTGGAAGACGAAAACATTCTACGGTGATTCTAGGAATAACACAAAACGAAACTTACCTATTCCGGATATTTTTAGAAAATATAAAAAATAAACCGAAAGAAGACGTATTATTTTTTTTTCATAATATGCTTTATCCATCTTAAGACATTATTGGTTAACCTGATAGATTTGTTCTTGTGAAATTAATTCTTTATACTAAATTTTACTTTCGTTTGATACATTCATTTCATTTTCTTATTGACTGAAGGGGATATTTGTACTTTTGACAGCCAGTAGTTAAGCACAACTTTTTTTTTTTTACCTAAATAACTTTGACCACAGAGAGTCCATATAGGTTCCAAAACCTTAGTATATTAGTCACCGGTTTTTCTCAGTTCTGTTTCCTATTTTATTTTATTGTGAGTTAAAGATCTGGCATGCAGTATTTCAACGATGCAACTAATTGAAAAAGGAATGTAGAAAGTTTCTCTTTATAATTTTTCTTTCATTTTACCTGAACTAAAGTGATCTATAGTAATTGTATAATAGTTTTTATAGTTCTTAATGAGCTATGACATCAAAAACAAATATATGTATTTTTTTCCATGCTATAATTTAATATGGAAAAATGAATAATTTAAATGACGCTAAATTCAAAATCCTAAAAATTGTAAATTAGGCATCCATGTTCAATTAATATCATTTTTCTTATAAAGAAAAGAGTTAATTAAAAAATTAATTGAATTTTTGAAGACTCATGAGATCATGAACTACGACGCTTCACGCCGGCATATTTCATGTTCAAAGCGCTATCGCGCTTCATGATAAATATGCCGGCGTGAAGCATTGTACATAGTTCATGTACCTCATGAACTTTCAACAATTAAATTCACTTCTTATATTAACATATTAATTTTTCTGATGAGTTGCCACTAATAACGCCATTCAGCTGTCAGTTTTTTAAGCAAAACAGTTTGTTCTATATTTTTGACGTCAAGTAAGGTATTATTACATAGCAATAGAGATATTCATACTCATTCAAGGTAGTTCATGAGAAAATGAACTGTCTTCTAGTTTGCAAAGAATCTTAAGGAGAAGTTTTTGGAAATGTAAATATATCTATAAAAAATGCTGTTCTCTGAGACGTCATGGGATATTTACATGTATATATATATATATATATATATATATATATATATATATATATATATATATATATACACGCATATATATGCATGCAAAATACAGTCTCGTTTGATGGGGCAAAATAAATAATTAAAAAAAAAATTATAATTATAAAATAAATAAATTTTACGTTTATGACAGGTTTCTTCTTAACTCATTGAAAATGACAAACTATAGGTCTATCAAGTTTTCTTTTCATTGTTTGAATCTAGAAGATTGATCCCAGATACACCTTATTTAAAGAATTTCAAAATTTGCTTAGAATTCGTCGCTTGTTTTGTTTATTTGAAATTAAGTTCACTCAGATTCATCTCTTTAGTATACTATTTAACGTAAATCCCACACAGACATAGAGATTTGTTCAAAGGCTTTTAATTAAAAGTATATTATAAGTAATTATTTAAATTATTAAGTTATAAATACTCTTTGAGTAATTTACTTGATATTTCAAATATCAAAAATGTGGTACAAAATATTATCACAAATGACATAAGCATTTGTCGTTAAGCAACATTTATTTAGATTTGATTGTTATAAAAAAAGATTCATTACATCCTGACTTTGCACAGATTAAAATGAGTCAAATCTTTACACAGTAGCCCACATGTAGCTATTGAAATACATTTTGAACAGGAGCAACTGCACATTTTCTGTTATATCCGCTACACTGCAAAGAACCATTTCTACATGGTGTCAAGCATGAGAAACAAAACTTAAACTTGCATTTAATGCATGTCATCTCTTTACACATACTCTCATGTTCAATTAAAGAACGACAGCTTGGACACATTCGTTTAGAGGGAACATCTTCAATATGCGAATAATCCAACTTCTTCCGAGGAGCCTCGTTTAATATTCTTTGAAATGCCTCAAGTTCCGAATTTGCGCACTTGTGATTTGGGAACCAAAGTGATTTACAGTCCCAGCAAAATTCGTAATTTACGCCTTTCGATTTGCTACAAAATATACAATGGACTTGTTTGTTGTTCTCTGCCAATCTCTGACAATAATTCCCGCAATCTGGACAGTTTGAAGTATTGTCGTCGTCTTTGTTTAAGGCATTCATAGAGATTCGATATTCAAAGAAAATCCGTTCATCCTCCGTCATATCTGCCTTTCGGACGATTTCCTGCATCCTCCATTCTGATCTGCATCCCTCAGTAGGACAGCGTATCGTGTCTACAACATTAGTCATCAGTTCCGACCTCATAAACCCAAACAGACTGTCCGCAGCTGAAGTAATCAAAACATTCTTTTTTAGAAAAAAAAAATCATGCAAGTTCAAGAAACAGTGTTACTTTTTCTGTCTTATACGGATATGCCTTTGAAACATTTTGTACTACAACTTAACTTCTTTTTACCTATTTTAAAATTACAAACCAAAAGGTAAATTATTCATATGTAATCAAGGATTATTCTTGAATCCATGCATGTATGTACAAGTATGGCAAATAATACTTATACATGTACAGTTATATAATTCTCTGTATTTTGTTTTTTCAAATAATATATAGCATAGCGGTGAAAGTGAAGAAGTTTTCATAGAAGTTTTTGCCAACAACTTAGTACCTAAACCTACAATTATTGTATTTTTAATTCATAATCACCCATTTCCAAGTAGGAAATGTAGGATAATTCTAAAAATATAACAGCAGCGCACCTGTAGGGATACCTGATATATAGTTTAGTGCCCCTCCCAACTGTATTGGAGACAGAATTAAGAAGTTTAGCTATTTTTCAATAATATACTAAACTTGCTTACTTATTGCATGCCCACAGGACATTTTCAGACGTGGTTCGTCTTCAGACTCTTCATAGGTGAGCATGTCTGGTTCCTCTGTATTCAGATATGACGGAAATTGCCTGTTTTCATTCCCAAACATGACCTGAAGCGGGGTTGATAGTCCAGAAATTGGCCGTTCATTTTCATAAATGATTCCTTCCTCTAAATCTACAATACTGATGGAATAACGAGACACCCCGCAATCAGACTCTATTTGCATTTTTATATCTTGGATTGTCATGCAACCCTGAAAATTTAGGATAAAATGTATAAATTGCAAATGCATAATACCTTCAAAACAATCACTAATTTGCTTCTTGTATTTATAAATATTACCGGTGATATGTCGGATGGAAACAGTGCTGATAATCTCTTAAACTGCATCATAATTGGTGTGCAAGGCACAGCGGAGGGAAAACTAAAATGAAAGTAGAATAGTGTGCTTACTTGGATTTAAATATAGCATGTAGATAGCAAAGTGTTTTTGGAAAACTCCTATTTTGGTATTTCTGAAATTAAAAATAGCGTATCCTAAAAAAGAACTTTAAATTAAAATGAAGTATTTTCGGAAAATAACTCGGTATTAGGGTCGATGTAGATGTGCATCGGAGCTGTACAAATGCAATATTTACATTAATTCTCACGAGTTGCTGATCATGATTTATGATTATACTCCCTATCCCCCCTTACACACACATACAAGTATGTAACATGATTCATAATAAAAACCAATTTAGTGCATTCAGTAAGTGCAAAGAAAAACTACTCCTGATCTTTAAATCAAGCATGCCATGCTTATCTTCCTTTGATTAAGACCCTGCTACTTTCATTTCAATTTCCAAAAATTGAGGGACCCGATTCCGAAAAATATACACAGTCAGTTTTATGTAAACAAGGCTAGTACAGGTGTATCTGCTGTTATTATAAGTGACATCGTAGATTGTTTACCTGTATTTTGAAAAGAAACTTGAACAATTTTTTTAAGGCTTGATCACTTCTGTAGTATATTTTTAAGTAAAAATTTGATAACAGAATTAATGTATGTAAAATTTCCTGAGTATATATATACAGGAGAGGGTTAAAATTTGTTAAATTACGAAATTTTTACATGATTCCTTGGAAAACCTAGAAATAATATATGTGTTTAGGTATCTTTAACAACAACAACAACAACAACACACACACACACCCTCACACACACCCTCACACCCTCTCACACACACACACACACCCTCACACACACACACACACACACACACACACACACACACACAGAGAGAGAGAGAGAGAGAGAGAGAGAGAGAGAGAGAGATGGAAAATGTGTATCTGTTAAACAAAATAATGTTATCTTTTTAGCTTCATCAAATTAATGATATTATGCCTGATTAGATAATTATACCTTACCTATAATCATTCAAAAAGGCACTTTGAGCTCAACACTAATATCTATTAAATATACATCAATATATGAGGTTTTACTTGGTAACGATCAGACGACGTCGACGGCAAATCATTTAATTAGAAAAAAAAGATTTGAAAAAATAAAAAAGAAGAAATCCAAAAAATACCTTTGAAAAAAATTAACTTAGTACCTTTAACAGCAAAATTTTTGAAACATTTTTTTCTTACCTTTTAGTATAATTACTACCTGTAACGTTTCTAGATCAAATGTATGTTCATAATATTTACATTAAATTTTATATTAACTTACCGACAACTTGGTATAATAAAACAAAATATACTTTGGAATGCCTGAATCAAAAAAAAAAAAAAAAAAAAAAAAAAAAATATATATATATATATATATATATATATATATATATATATATATATATATATATATATATATATATATATATATATATATATATATATATATATATATATATATATATATATATATATATATATATATATATATATATATATATATATAGTTATTTTACTAATTGTCTTAATAAATAATTTTGAGAAAGAAAACTTCAACAAATAAATTTCTACACCATTTTTTATTCCTACCTTTCAGAAATTTACAAAAGTAGGTTGGAAATACCCGTAGCTAAACATATAAACAACTATATTTGTAATTTATCTTTCGATTTATTCAACTACATGTAAAAGCTATTGTGAATTGATTTATCTATTTAATAAGAAGTATTGCGCTACATGTATGTGTGAATTCAAATGATCTCTGTATAAATTTCCTATCACAGTGATACTTCTTTACATTGTGACAAAATGAACAATTTATATATTAAAAAGATAAGTGTTAATTTGATAAAAAAAAATACAATAAAAATAATAAAAAATTCTTAATACAACAATATATCTAACTCGATTCTCCTTTTTCTCGTTAGGAATTTGTTTTTAAATCTCAGCAATTCATTTTTACTCTAATAGCAATGTTCATTGAGAAAAATGATTATTGATAATTTCCCCAATTGCGATTAGCAGCAGATAAATATATATACACATGCCCTTTACGATATCTGCCTTTTAAAATGAATGGACTTATTTAATAAACGGAGAGGAAAGAGTTGGAGGCTTCTGAGAAAAGCTTTTTTCAAATAATGCTTTAAATAAATACTTTTATCGATACTGCTGTAATATTGTTGACTTTAACCTACCAATATAGACGGTTACTCTTTTATAATTTGTTATCCTTTGTGTTGCTGCAAATGGAAATAAACGAATTGGTTTGCATAAAAAAATTAAAAGGGTAAAAGTAGTCTAGTTAATACGAAATCATTCCTGTGCATAGGCGTCGGAAGCAAATTGAGAGTGGGGTGGCTAATTGAAAGTGGGGGGGGGGGGGCTAAGCCCCCCCCCCCGGTTCCGACGCCTATGCTGTGAAGTGTAGATTAAAAGAATCTCAAGACATCCCAACGCTGGTTTAAGACAGGTACATGTACAAGACAGGGATTAAAATTTAGTAAAGAAAAACAAAGTTGACACCCAGAAGAATAACAATGATTTTTAATTTTATATATAATCTGTCAAGTGGATACCCTGAATTTCCTTATATTTCATTTAGAATGATACACAGTCAGGTAAAAGTGGCTTGCGTGATTTTCAACTGTTTTACTTTTAACTGTCACGGTAGATCAGTCGGTATAGAGCGCTCGCTCCATGATCGGAAGGTCATGGGTTCGAATCCCGGTCGCGACCGACCTAAGTCGATAAAAATGAGTAGCAACTGTTCCTTCGCCACACGCTTGGCATTTTGAAATGAAAGTTGCGGGTCCATCGGTCGAGACCTTAAAAAAACGAAACTCCGTGTCTCGCAGGCGATGGCACGATAAAGATTCCTCATTGTTCAATGGTCATGAGTGCCTGGTAAAGGTCATAGAACAAGTCTCAATAATTTGGCTTATATGTGGTCCACGGTTACTCGTCAAATTTCGAACATATATAAAAAGATTTAAAGATTAAATTTTATTATTAACTAATGTCTTTATTATTTGAATCATCATCTAAAAATGTCAAACAATAGATATAGGCAGTATACGAAGCTGCGTGTTGAAGATTTTCATGAATATCAAAAGAAATCGGTGACACGTACACACTTCAAAGGTTTCGTGAACACCGAAGACAGGTTTGTTCAGAGTCGAGTTTGAAATATAATGTATATATTATATGTGTAAAGGTTGAGTGAACATATATTTGTTGAACAACCTTGCGCTCTATGTTTTCTAATTAAAAGTATTACGATTTTGAATCTCTTCGCTGACTTCATTTACATGCGATTAACCTCTTTATGACCTGTTTATAATCATAACAAATCACGTGGATTTGTATCGTTACGGGTGATAACCCGCAGTAAACGTGATAGCTATCAGTTTAAACGTACTCAGTTTTATATCTGTCAGCATGGACTTGTTTGGTTCATCTTGTTATAGCGTTTTATTGTCAAAGATTTGTAAAGAATAAATTTATTTGTAGTTGATTGTGAATCTTTAACATATAATTCGTCTTTGAAAGAAAACTATAATATCAAGATATTATTTTTATAGCACATTTATCTAATTTTAATGCCTCCGCCCATTTCCATATAATAGAGAAAACAAAGTCTGATTGGGGGAAAATGTTCCGGCATTTTTAGTGCGTTAGGTTTTAAAAAAATGGCTTGTATTTTTTGATACGTTTAATTATTCATTATAAATACACAGGCCCGTAGGAAGCAATTTCAGTTTGGGGGGCACAGCCATACATTTTCAGTTGAGGGGGCACTATCAATTACCAAAAATTCCTTGACAAGCAAAAAAAAAAAAAAAAAAAAAAAAAACAAAACAAAAAAAGAAAAAAAAAAGGTCATCAGACGTTTTTATTGAGGGGGCACGAGCATATAGTAAGCTATGCTTTCTATAGTAATCGATATATCGGCAAAATTATTGGGGGTGGGGGGTGGGGCACGCCCCCCGTCCGCCCCCCCCCCCGGTTCCTATGGCCATGATACAGAATACTTTAATTAGAAATACTTTGTTATACACAATGAAAACAAACAAAATACCGTATGCTAATATTTAACCGGTAAACCAAGGGTGTAAAATGGGACCACACTACTATACTTAAGTAGAATACTCCTTTGAAGCCCTTCCCTGGTATATGGTGACATCTCTATGTAAGTGAAAAATTCTCGAATGGGGCATAAAACAACATACAACCAATCAATCACTTTTCACAATTGAAATTCATGCAAATTTCATACGAATTTCAAATGAACCACTTTATACCTTAAGAAAGAGCATCGTATCAAATAGATTTGATAGAAAGATAAAAAATGACTATATTATTAAGGTGAGGGTTTGGTCCATTATCTTTTTCGGATTCGCTACGAAAAAAAATGCTTACTTGTGGGGAACTGGAATCTTGCCGATTTCTCGCATGATAGACGTTAACTGTTTTATCATACAGATACGAAAATAAGACCAGTATTTAAACTCGTATCCAGCAATATTCTTTTTTATACATGTACGCAGTGCAATTATGAGGTTGAAATATTGATCAACCAGAATGTAGATACAAGACATTTGCATCTGGAATAATGTTTAATAATTTTAAAAAAACATATTTGCAAGCAATATTCTTTGAATCATATAAATAATTTATACTGTGACAAAGTAACTGATCACATGCTTTGCTCTCACTGCACTTTTACCATGCTGACGCAGTGGCGGATTCAGAGGTCCACGTTGGGCTGGGTGGGTTGAGGCCCGTAGG